AACAATACGATACAATTAAAAGCGCATTTAACATCTACCGCGGGAGATAAGCTATTTCTCGCCTCAATTGGCCCAGAAATGGACAAATTGGCGAAATGATCATTTTATTCCATACTGCATTTCACTTAAAGTGTTATTTTATTAAATTTTATATGATTCCATCTTGGTTCTTTGTCATAAATTAAATTCCCAGTAAATCAGCTATTATCTTTTAAGTGACTCGCAGAAATGACAGAAAAGTTTTCTAATTACAATCTTAGCAAGGAATAATTGTGTTCATAAATGATGTGAAATTATACAAGAATGAGGGAGAAAATTGCATTTTCTCCGGTTGGTATTCAAAATCATTCCAAACTATAATTACTCTTTTGAATTGCAGATGTGAATATTTGTTCGTAAAATCGACAAATTACGCCAAAATACTGGCAGGAAAGCTCAAACACTTTACAATTGAGTGATCACAGCGCAATACGCGATATTTCATTACATATTAAATGGCAATGTCGGAAATGAATGAAACATTTATGTTTTCACAGGGGTTATTTTCAAATTGAATTATTCCTTTTTATTGTTCAATTTATGGTGCTGCTTATTCTAGAAAGCCAACACGGAGCAGCCAGTGCTGGTGAAGTATTCATAAAGTTCTCGTTCTTGTCTTGTTTTGCGTCTCCGCCCGTAAATTTGATCTGACGGCAGGATAATAACGACACTTGCATAATTCACTCAATTTTTCACTTGCAAGAAAAGTCCACAGTTTGCAAAACTCCCATGTAATTTATTTGGCAAAAAATATCCCAACATTTCCACTTATGCCACAAGGCGAGGGCGGAGGGAGAAAAGCACGCAAAAAGATGTGAAAAATTGTTGAAGATTTTTCGTTACCTCATCTCCTGACAGTTACATCCATGTCTGGTGGGAAAATTGTATGTGACGTGTGAGGAGAAATGTTTCTCTTTTCAAATTCACCTTTTGATTTGTTTTATCACCAGAAGAATTTGTCTGTGAAGTCATTTTCTTTACAACTTTCCATTTTGCAGCTATGAAAAGTTCCCACCACGCAAACAAAGACAGAGAGAGAGAGAGAGAGAAAGAAAAAAAATTCTGAGAAGGAAATTTGCGCAATTTTATGAATTTGTAATTATTCAGAAAATGCCAAAGATAATCACCAATGGATTTTGCCTTTTGGATATTTTATTGAATAGCTAAGAATTTCACTTCACTATCGCAGGGAAAACATCTCGGGGTGGAAATTTTAATTTCAGATAAACGAGGACTTTTACGAGAAGCACTCTAGGCCAGAGAAAAATCCTATTTATGTTTATTTCCTTGTGACTCCCACGCCGCACTTCCCACTCTTTGGAGAGAGGAAAAAGGCTAACAAATGTGCGGCACATTTATTTTCTTCGTCTCCTCAAAACTGGCAAAATAAATAATTTGCATACTTTGGAGAATGTGTCGCTGTCATAGAAATATACAGATTTTGTGAGAAAATATCAAACGAACTTCTTGTATTTAAATCATATTTTTAAATCCGTTTTGTGGCAAAAATGCTAGACAGTATCAGTCAAATGAACTGAACAGTGCCAAAATCGATAAATACGGCATTCTTCGGCGGTCTGCCGTTGGCACATTTAACTATAAAGTTCTGTACATGATATTCACTTGGGCATCCATCGGAATTCCCATTCGAATTCCGATTTTGGGCCCAACTGATGGGGTGGCGCTTTAATGGGTGCGCCAGGGCGTATGTGAGAATCAAAATTGAATGAAAACGTTACTCGAACATTTTGGGTAATCGTTTATTTCCGCATGAATCTCAATGTCGAGATGGGGAAGAGTGGATTGGCGAAGACGAAGCAGCGGAGAGACTGTTATTCACACATCAAATGAACTCAACTCACTTGGGACATAAATACCCATATATTTTGTTCACACGCACAAAGCCTGCGAACCACCACTGACTTTCATCCACTCCACCGAACCCCCAGCATTCGTTCCCCTTCTCTCTGGCTTGGGGTGGGCGAGCATACACATAGTCTGTGAATGCGGGTGTTGCAAATAAGATTAGAGAGTTATTTTGTGAGTGTGGCCTTCGTCATTTGTGATCACTGGGTTAAAATGATATTACAGCACATGACGCGTGAAAAAGTGTATTTTCTGGTGATGTATTCCACCACATAATGCGATTCGCCACTCCAGAGGCTCGTCTCAGCTGCCACCTGGCATAATTTTTGATGGAGGACACGAACAAAAGGATCCAGCGGAGTTTCGGGGACACTGTCAAGTGGCTCCTCTTAGTGAAATTAATGCCACATCCATTCACTTCTTTGCCATGCGGTTGAAGCACAAATTGCGATGTCTGAAAGGCACTTTGGATATATTGGTCAGTAAGTAGGCGAGAGTTGGCGTATATAATGGTTGTCTTGAACTTGCTTGATCCTCAAGTGATACAACATAATCTTCACCACACTGCGTATCAACTTGCTCTCCCGGATTTCTCCTTCCTAATCCCTTATTGTGGCATTAAAGTTTGATTTTTAATTCTCCCATCCAAATCCTCTTCTCCAATTACTCTCTCTCTCTCTTGTGGCAGTCATGGCTCGGGTGATATTTGCCAGTTGTGCCATAAACATGAGTGGATTAATGTTGGATGGAAATGGAGGAATTTTGAGGTACATATCTCGCTCAGTTAATCTTCCATCGCTGAACTTTTTCCTCTGCTTCTTTCGCAAGATAAATTGTTTTATCAATGCGAAGGAACAATGAGACTTCTGCTGACTTTACGCGCTGCTGAAAAATTTCACTGATTCCCCATCAGTGGATGTCTTATGATGAGCTTGTAATATTGTAGAAAAAAATTGTGCTGAGACAGATAGAGTATGTTGGTGGGCATAATTTATTTTCCACCATCAGTGCTCGTGTCAAAGTTAGTCGTGCCACTCGAAGGCCACAAACCGCCAGGACTTGTGCCAGGACTTGTGCCATTTCACCGCCACGCGTTATTCTAATTTTCATCATCAACAGTTAGTCAAGCGCCCTCCTGAGGCTTGGTGTCTCCCCTGGATGACTAAATGACTTGGCGTTTCATGGGTGGGCAAAAAAGGGCGCTTTTCGCGTGAAATATAAGAGATGAGAGGAGACTTTTCCGCCTAACCTGCCGACGGGAAGAATTCACCTTCACTCACATTTTCCGCATACTTTTATATGGGTTTTTGAGGTTTCTTTTAGAAGTTGTGGGATGACAAGTGTGTGTATCTGTTTTGGGGGAGGAAGACAAGGGAAACTATACGAAGATGTTTCTTTAGGCCGATGTTTTGCTCTTCATCGCGCGTGTTTTCACTCCCAGAACGCCAAGAGATAATAAAGTTAGAGAATCCTCTGAGCGGCAAAGTCCAAGTGGGTATTACTGAGGGTGGAGATAAGGGAAAATCAACACGCTCAGTATTGATTGGGAGAGGGGAAAATCTCAATGGAACGACTTTCGAGGCTCTCAAGGGGTGCAGGATGAAGGGAGTCCGAGCGAAGAGAGAGAAATGCTATCACAATCATGACACTTTCGCCTCGCCGGTGTGAGAGACAGTGGGATGTTCAAATAAAATTTAATGATGAAAATTGAAAATGGGTCTTTTCCTCTTCGTGTCTGTTTTTCACACTGGAGGCTTTTTTCCCCCGTCGCCGCGCGCGCGGTATTTAAGTGTACAAAAGTGGCGGGAAATTTCCTTGTCAGCCCGCCAGCGAGAAACATGCGAAGAGAGGTGTATTTGAAGAGGATGACTGGTGAAAATGAATTTTTGATTAGTGAAATGAAAATAAATTAATGCAAATTTTCGCGGTTTTGCTTCTTTCAACTTTTATCCATTGGCAGTCTGTGTCTCTCTTCGCTCCCAATGGGCCTATATGTGAGGCCCACACGTGCGCACTTGGAGTGTCTTCTTTGGCCCAGAATGCTGGATGGAAATTACCATTCAGCGAAATTAAATTCTCCATCAGGGGAAAAGAACGCTCCGTCGAGTTGTGTAGCTTTAATGGGATCAGAGTGAGGGAGGTTTTAACTTTGAAATTTAATTTAATATTCATAATGATTTTCCATTTCATCCCCAAACTGCAACTCTCCACCCAGAGAGCACTGTTTTGCATAGACCAAGTTCCACCAACAGTGACAGAGTGCTTCTGCAGTAAATGACTTTTTTCCCAACTTCATGATGTCAGCAGATAAATTGGCCACTTTCCTCGCCGGGTATAAATTTGGCGGATGGAGCTTTATATTTCTGAGGGGGGTAAATTTGTAGTGTGGCGCGTGTCCGAGAGGGATGGGGTGAGCGGATGCTAAGAGTGATTTGGTGTTTTGCGAGTAATTTCATTTTAATTTCCTCCCCGTTTGGTTGGTATGTGAAATATGTGTGTCTTGAGGAGCCCCAAAAGCACACAAATTACTCCCTATCTGAATAGCAGAGAGAACACGAGATCATTATGGCTCATATCTCATAAGATGGGTTCATGCAGAGCAGAAAAAGATATACATCTCCGTCGATATGTCTTGTGCTTCGCCAAAACCATGTAATCCATCTCTTTCACTCCATCCAGTTCGCGCCAAGCTTGGCGCGAAAGCCATGAGAGTCGAAATATGAAAATGTTTTTCATCTTCCATGCAAAGAATCTCGGCAGTGGTGGAAACTCATGACCGAGCTTTCTTAATTGGTCCATAAACGACAAGTGGAAGTTGCTCAGAGATGCTTGGCAAATGATAATTTTTTTTTCGTCTTAGCCTTTCTCAAGAGCTCACAATGCGAAATCTCATGCTATGACGATGATTGTAATGCTGAAGAAGAATTGATGTGATATTCATCTCTTCGAGACAAAGATTTAGCCAAATGCCATTAAATTGCAAAAAGAAGAGGAACATTTTCCTCTCCTTTTTGCACATTCACTGTGAGAGTGCAGAATATGTTGAGCATAATTATCATCATCTCTCTGATGGCGTATTGTTGCATATCTTTCAGATGGAGCCCACAGATGTCCAGTTGAGTGGAACAGCTGCAATTTGTCAGGGCACGAGTAGCACTCTGAGTCCGCCTGATGCAATCACCTCGCCCGGAATCGCGAGGACAGAGTCCAATGCCACCTCGCGCGAAGACGAGGAGGACTCCAGCAATGCGGCGTCTTCAGACTGCAAAAGTCCGGGACAACGGTGAGCATTCAAGTGCAGTGATTCCCCTTATGTACTCCCCAGACTTTTCATTAACACCTTGTTGAGCAAGTCCCTGGAGAAAATTGGATAATAGTGTATTTAACATGTGTACAAAAGATATCCTCCTTAAGCATAAGCAAATCTGCCCGCGCGACAGTGTGTTGAGGGTAATGTTAAGATCGCCACTAAAATTCGTGCAAAAAGGTCCAATTTTAGTTGTCGCCACCTCGCTAGATCCTCATCCTTCGCGTCACACCAGTCGCGCTCCAGCCTCGACACGATAATGGAGGATAACCGTCGTCGTCGCCATTTCCCGCGGTACCAGTCCGAAGACTCCAACGACGGCTCCTGTAGTCGCTTTTCCGGACGGTGTGCCGTGTATGACGACGCCGATGTGGAAAACGATGATGGGCCTAAGCCTCCAGGAGCCACTTCTGGCTCTCAGAGGTGGAAGAATGTGAAGGCCGTTGTAGCATATTATTGCTCCCTGCGAAAGATCAAAAGGGATGTGAACTTTCAGAATAGTCCGAAGGCATGGCAAGAGGCCAATATTGTCAATGATAACGTGTGTATTTGTCACTGTCTCTATTTCAATGGGTGTATCATTGTCTCTGTCTGTGACATGGCATGACTATTTCGCATAGATTTTAAACGTAATTTAATCAACAAATTGCCCAGATATCCTGTAAGTCACCCACTGACCTCCTAAACTCTCTGTCGTCTCCAATTCACTCTGTCCTCACTTCTCTCACTCACTCTCTTGAATTCCTGTGGTAGATATCGATATATATATATATACATGGAGGAAAATAAAAAGAGACATACTTGGGTCTTGACCTCTTTGCAGAATCTTACATAACAAAAGTACATTATATACTTTTTAATGCCAGCGATTGTTATTCTGAAGCTCGTTCAATGTTACGTTCTATTTTTCCTTTTGCTCTTCTCAACTCTCCTTCTCTATTGTCTTCGTGTTCATGTTCAATGAGAGTAATTTTAAATAAACATAGAGGATATCACTGGGATTATGCTCTCTTTCTGTCTCTCTCTCTCTCTCTCTCTCTGTCTGCAGAAAAACTTAGTGTCTGTCAGTGTGTCTCCCTGACCTCTATAGTATGTCAACTAACAATGTTTTCTATATATATATCTTGAGAAATGCCTATATGAATTATGCAGATTAACGCAATGATCCTTCGTGTGAGCTCGTATGGCATGGTCTTTAAAGCAAATTAACATCTCACAGTGAGAGTTGGTATGTGAAGAAATGATATTGGATTGGATAAAAAAAAACACTTCCTGAGACTCGTATGACCTTCTATTTTGGTGTCGTGTTGAGAGATTTTGGCTGTCTTTGAGAATCACTGACGGTGAAATATGTCTCGCTTAGAGTGCCTAATACCTTGTGATGGATAATCGATGGGACTAAAGGAATATCCATGTTATTCGTCACAACAGAACCAAGTCGAATCAACGATGGATGAAATTGAGAACAACTGTCCAGTTGTCATCGGCCATCCAGAAGAAGCCGCCGCTGAAGCGGGAGGACTCCTTCCTCAAGCGATTCTCCACACGTCAAATACCAGAGGCGCAGGAGACTGTCGAGGACACTGGCTCCGAAGGGGCGACAGGGGAGCAGGATAAGTGTCTCAAGAGGCGAAAGAGATACATCCAAAAGCGGAAAAGTGTAGTCAATCCGGATGAGAATTTCTACTTCCATTGGCTGATGGTGCTAACATTTTGTGTCTTATACAATCTGTGGGCGCTCATTGTGCGTCAGAGTTTCCCAGAACTTCAGGTAAGATATGCTTGACCTTCTTTCATTCCCACATACATGTGCATTTGTGGCTGCGGGAGAAGAAAATCTATGTGTTTTTTCTCCCACATTGTGTGTCTCTTTTCCACTGTAAATAACGCAAAACAAGCTGAAAGTCAGAGGCTTTTTGCCAATTGCGATTGTCAGAATGTCATGAACATCGATTATACATGGTTATTAATTTAATTTTCAGCTAATAACACTATACAACCAATGGTACAACTTGTTTACGAAACGATTTATGTGCAAATGCAAAATAACTGACAAATCTGACCGACAAGTTTATTTGCCTATACATTGGATTATTATTTTATTATTCATGAAAGGCAAATTGAAATGAGGATTTTCAATTAACAATTGTTCGCATTTCACTGTTAGTCATTTCATTAATACGCGTGTTCATAAATAATTCTAGAATTGCGCGCATTGTCAAAATGCCTTTCAGTGGTTTTGCGCACAAAATAGTCCAATCAATTAATTAAGGATTATTGTAAAGTAAATCCTCTTTTGCAGGATCTTGCGTCCAATTTCTGGTTTGCCTGTGATTGCATCAGTGACGTTGTATTTGTACTTGACGTAGTTGTTCAACTGAGAACAGGATATCTAGAGCAAGGATTGATGGTGTACGACGATAAGAAATTAGCGAAACATTATATAAGATCGCGCGAATTTTTACTCGATTTGGCAGCCTTAATACCATTAGATCTGTTACAAATTAGATTCGGAACACAACCTCTTTTGCGGTTTCCACGGTTTTTCAAGGTAACACAGCCGCAATGGCTCTCAGGAGTCTAATGGCTGTTTTTATTATTATTATCTTGCACGGAATAATGCAAATATGTATTTCTCTCTTGCAAATACTTCTCCGCAGGTTTATAGGTCCATCAAATTTTACTACATCGTCGAGAGTAGAACAGTTTGGCCTAATTTGTGGCGAGTCGTCAATTTAATTCACATCTTGTTGATTTTAGCGCATTGGTTTGGGTGTTTCTACTTTTTACTCTCGGAAGTGGAAGGATTTCAGGTAATTTTTTGACTTCTGTGTGTGTGCTGATAATTTAATCAAGTATCTCGCACTTCTCATTTTTCCGCTCTAAAAATTCTCTCGCTCTCAATCAATAAAATGTGTTCATGTCGGTTGTATCATCGCGCGCTGGGTTGATGATGCCCAGCGAGCGACGGAGAGGAAAAGTAAGGAGGAGAGAGTGATAAGGAGAATAATAAAAATGAAATATACAGAAAGGCTTGTGCCATGCTACAAAATTGATTATTTACCATTCATTATGTCAGCATTAATACGATTGTGTAACTAAGCCAGTCGCCGATATACTTTTTTTTCTCTGCTAATTTTCTGTCAACACAATAAATTGCAGGGTGATTGGGTGTATCCCTACCGTCCGGGAGATTATGCTACGCTAACAAGAAAATATCTGGGCAGCTTATACTGGTCCACACTGACACTGACGACAATTGGGGATCTACCGACGCCAGAAACGAATGCTGAGTGAGTCTATTTTGGGCCATAATAATACCACAGAATTCATCAATTTCGAATGCGTTGCAAGAGGAAGTATATTTGAGCGCATAAATGAGCGAAATCATAACCCTTAATTAGTCTTTTATTTTTGAGAATTAAAGCACTTCAGAGAAGTCCCCCCTATTTATAAGTCCATGTGAAATGACATTTGCTTAGCTAAATATGACTTTAATAAATGCACACACTCCCGTGAAGGCCCTCGAGCTCGGCGGACGGCCCCAGATCACTTCCGAGACGCGGCCTGAAATCGCGTTTACTCCAATTTGGTTCCAACAACGGGTATGCTATTCACAGGTTACTCAATCTTTTAGCTCTAACTAATGTTATTAACCCATTTCTCTCTCTCTATTTTACCCCTTCGCCGTCGATCTTGTTCTCTCGTACAATACCACAAGATACACCCACACACAATATCAAACACTCATGCCAACATTCAGCAATTTAATTTGAACGATTAATCGGTAAAATTATTATTTCCGTAAGTCATTTTTAGTATAAATACACTTACATATATTTAATTTCCTTTGCATATTGTTTTCTTTTTCTTAGTGCACAACATATAGTGAGTTTATGTTCTGTTTATGTTCTCGCAACGAACAGAGTTGAAGGGTGATTGCAGAATTGGTCTTGCTTTGATGTGGAAAATTCGGCAAAGCAGCAAATTCTGCACATAAAATCTGTTGTAAATAGAGTATTAGATTGTAGATTTGTTTGCAAAATTACAAGACAAATGGGGATTCTGGAGATTAATTGGATAATGCTAACAGAACTCATGTCACAGTTTCACAATTAGGTTATCATATTCAATTAGTTTTCTCAACTCTGTTCGTCTAACTATTGCTACATTCAACGAACTCAACACCAATTTGCAAATAGTTTAAATGAGCACAAACAATATATATATTTTGTATAGCATACAAAAGAACACACAAGAAGAGAACATTCTCACGTACAAAAAAACGCAGTTTTATTATCAGAGATTTGATAGAAAACTAGAGAGAAAATTTGAGAAATCCAATAGGCAAAGAAAAGTCGGGTAAAACCAAAATACATATTTATTCCAGAGGAAAATATGTCGCAAATACATAATCGTGTGATTACATGTATCCAAAGTGGAGAATTGTATGTAATTTTTTGCGCACCCAAGAAACCGTGAAGAAAGTAAAACGTCTGTGAGAAGTGTTTTGGAGGCTGTCCGCCCATTTCCACTGAGAACATGTCATAGAGTCTTTGCATGAGAATATGATTTTCCACGCGCCAACTTGGTGACTACGTCTTTTTCGTGGTGGATGTTGGAGATGGAGAGCAGCGTAATAAATCAATTATGGCGCCAAATTGGCTCGTGTTTGAACAAATGATTATTTTGCAATGTGACAGAGCTCACAACTAGAGCATTTTATGGTTCTCTCTGGCGTTTTTTTTTATATTCTTTAGAGTATTTACAAGAGCAACGAGAATTCTCGTGTTTATTGAGGACTTTTTTTCTCTCTCTCTCTCTCGCTCCTCGATCTCTTCTGCTTTATGATTATTGAATCACAGAGATTTGTGTCTCTGCGGCAATGGCAAGATCCCGTCCCCAGATCCACCCCCACGTGTACACATCCACTCTTGTGCTCTCAGACTCATCTTTGGGGAGCTTCTTGTGAATTGTTGCACACTGAGGAGTGTCTCACTCGCTTGGCATTGTTGTCGCCGCAAAGAGGAGGATATGGCGAGATGATGGGGGCGATAAATGGGCGGGTGAATAGCACAAAATTTATATATACATTCCCAGTCACTGTTTATCTCTCCAACCAACCCTCGTAGTGAGATTTTAACTGTTTGCCCTGCGGTGACACCAAACAGCTCGCAGAAGCACGTTTCGCGCTGACCAACTTCTGCAATTTTTATCGCAGCCAAGTGTCAACTATTCTCACTGTTTCACCATTTTTTCATCCCTTTCCATATTTCATTCTCGAGTCAAGACGCGGCATGTCACGCAAGAAGCCTAATTCTTCACTGTGCACAAACCATTGGCGTCATCAAAGTTTTCGAATAAGAATTGTTTATGATGTTTTAAGCCACTTTATCAATAAATTTGCCTTATCACAGCAATAAATCATAGCAATCAAACATGCTGGAAACATGTTGGATACTTTGCAGACAGCCTTCAGAACAATTTCTTGCAGATGCAACCAGGTGTAGAAGCAGAAATAGAAAAGAAACCAATTTTTCCCTCTCAATTGACTGACAAAAGCACGCGGAAAATTAAATTTCCCCAGAGGACTTTAACTGTGCGATATTATCTATATTTTGTGCAATGGAATGTTAAGTCAAGAACACTCAGAAAGGCGAGTGAACAACACAATAAATAATGTATTCTGGTTTTACTGTCGCCCACGCTCACGAGAATAGATTTGGGCGAAACTTTTTCCACTATAGAGCCACTCTATATATGCGCCAACCAACCCCCCGAAAAAAGAGCCCCCAAAAGTGCAAACACACTGAACGACTCTCTCCCTTCCACACACACAAACTATAATGCAAGGGAGTGGTATTAAAACATTGAATTCGAAAACTTTGTGACTCTTTTTGCGTGGTGAGTTCTATAGCAGAGATTAAATACTCCCCACAATATTCCTCCGCAGACAATTTAACCCCCGAATGGAGAGCATAGTAACTTTTGAGATTTAATTCACGCTGTAAATAAAACCCTGCTCTTATATTCTCCACAAAGCCAATGCGATGTGGAGAATTTTGTGGTCCATTGAGATGAATTGAGTTTTGTCTGGGCAAATCCTTTTGCGTGAGGCGCATTCAACAGTTCATCATTTAAGTTGATTATTGATGAAAATACTTCCATGAAGCGCCACATGATGTGTATTAAATGACATTAATACTGTTTCTTATGGACATGGAGAGACTCTTTTTGATTTACTGGAAGTCTCCATTCACAGTAGTGTTTCTCTGGCATCTGTCCAAGATTTCCCCTCGCCCTCAAACCATATCCACTCAGTGATTCCACCAAAGATATGTGTCACTTGTATTTGAAGATATTGCGAATATTCTGTAGATCTTGCAATTGCCAAAAGCATGTGAAGATATTCACAGGAAGTGTCCAACAAGCACTTATGTAATGCGAAGTCAGACATTTCAATTACAAATTAAGATACACGTTCGCATCCGGCAATCTTGAGAGGAGAAGCATACATATTGGCTCTTCCTCCCTGAGAAAGCCCGCAATTCTCTATGTGTTATCTACACCCAATATTACGTTCACGTGTTTCCATGCAATCATGTGCAAAAGCAAGTGTAAAATTCGAGGCAATTTCAGTGTGAAGAGCTTGTTCCCCAAAAAACTTTTAAGCTCCATCGATATGTGTTTGTGTGTTTTGCTGGTCTGAAAGGTATTTTATAGCTGTAATTCCGTTCCTGTGTCGTCTCAATTCCTGATTGAAAATCAATACAAATGCTCCAAAAGCATAGATTTCAATCCCCGCATCCATGGTTTATATGAAATCCTCTCCGACATCACACCACTTTAGAGAGAGTACAAACATGAGCCAAAATGATGTGTATTTTGGTCAGATACATGAGGAATTATGCTAATGAGTGAATGAGACACAATTTACAATTAACCCCCACCCCCAACCCTCTCTTGGATTGAATGAGAAAGCGAATTCGCAAATTTCTCCTGTGCTATTGTAATTAATTGGTGTCCTTTTGTCCACCGCACTAAAGGTATATTTTCACCATCGTGAGCTATCTCATTGGCGTGTTTATTTTTGCCACAATTGTGGGTCAAGTGGGCAATGTCATAACGAATCGCAATGCCAATCGATTGGAGTTTGAGCGTCTCCTCGACGGCGCGAAAACCTACATGCGCCACCACAAGGTAAGGCTTTAAGAAGAGCCGATGCTCTGGGGTTTCTCATGCTTTGCACTTACACCGGAGATTAATTCAGAAAAATTTCCCTTCGACAGATTAGCAGAGAGAATTTCACTTTTTTTTTACTTCTTTGCATCGCTAAAACTTGAGAAAACTTTGAGAAATGTTGAGATTCTCAACATTCTGTCTTGTTTTTGCAAAATATTCACACATTCTCTTGACATTGAAAGTCGCTAAGTTGTGAAATTGCATTGTCGCACATATTAACTAACCGAGAAACATCGTTTGTCCATTATTTTGTCTATTACGCAAAATTCTGGTCTGAGTAATTTGCCATTAGCATGCCTAACCGACCTATCTTCACTCAAATACACAACCTCTCAGAGAGCATTCCTCTCTAATTAAATTCTCCGCTATATACAGGTGGTGTAATGATGCAAATTAATTCGCGTCACGATAATGAGTATTATGGTCTTCTCTTTATTTCCTGCACTTCAAAGCGACCCACATATTTCAATATATACTCCAATCTTCGTCTCTGTATTGGCAAAAATTTCACTGTTTCTCCGGCATTTGGCGCGAGGCTGCTAATGAGAAATCCCCGGAGGATGTTGGCTGTGTGCAGTGGCTTAATGATTCCCGTGTGACTGGCAGGTTCCGGGCGGCATGAAGAGACGTGTGTTGCGGTGGTACGACTACAGTTGGTCCAGAGGACGCATCCAAGGCGGTGGCGACATCAACACGGCCCTGGGTCTCCTTCCAGACAAACTGAAGACGGAACTGGCGCTGCACGTGAACCTGAGCGTGTTGAAAAAGGTACAGCGTATATTCGAGAACTTTCTTTAATATTGCACAAAGTTGGGTGACTTGGAGATGCTCCAGGAGGACTCTTGACAACTTGTCGCACACAGTTTCTCGGGGGAGTTTCAGCAACTATTTGCTCTCTCCGCCTCTATTTAATCTGGCACTCTGAAAGTTCAGTGCATCTTTCTGCCAAGAGCTGAGCTATGAGAATAATCCGACTCTATCTCTGCCTTCAATAGGTCACGATTTTTCAAGAGTGTCAGCCAGAGTTTCTGCATGATCTGGTGCTGAAGATGAAGGCATACATCTTCACGCCGGGCGACATGATATGCCGAAAAGGCGAAGTGGCGCGAGAGATGTTCATAATAGCTGATGGAATTCTGGAGGTGCTGAGCGAGACGGGAAAAGTCCTGACAACCATGAAAGCTGGTGACTTCTTCGGCGAAATTGGGATTCTCAACCTGGATGGTCTTAACAAGTGAGAAAATTGAATGAGATTTTCCCATATCATTGAATGTTGATGGGGCGCGAGAAATCCGCATAAAAATCCAATTGTCGTTCTCATTTATGCTTCATAGAACAATATGCATTTCAAGAATAACCACTTAAATTTCATGGAAACTCCTAAAAGATTATGTTCACGAGAATTGTAATATCATCCGATGGTTGTAATTCTTGCATTTTCACGCAACTTTTCTATGAAAATGTCTACAAGCAATTTTATGAAATGGGTTTGGCATTATTTGAGGTTTGACCCACTTCCCTGGGCCGCAATCACACACCCACACAATACCATAGAGTGACTGTGAAAAGTTCCCAAACTTGCGAATGAGTGCAGAAAAGATGCTGAGGTGGATGGGAAAACTTTCCGCCATCAAGGGGAGACTTTCTTACTAATGCAATTGCTGTGCTGCTCAATTAGGCGCACGGCAGATGTTCGCTCTGTTGGCTACTCTGAGCTCTTCTCCCTGTCGCGAGAGGATGTGCTGGCGGCCATGAAGGACTACCCGGAAGCGCAGGAAATCCTGCAGACGCTGGGACGGAAGCGCCTCATGGAGGTGAGGTGTGTGAACAAGAAGCACGCCAAGATGCAGAGCGAGAAGGAGGCGGCTTTGGCGGCCGCCCAGGCGGAAGGCAGCGAGAACAGTGCATCGAAGAGGATTGTGGAGAAGCTCAGGAGTGACGTGAAGGGCATCAAGAATGTGCTGAGAAAGTCAAGGTGAGAAGTGCGCACAATTTGAAAGCAATTATACGCCAATCGCGTATATATGCGAAATCAATTAATTAAGAGTGGAATAATGAAAGCTTGAGCGAGTGAATCAAAAGAGGGATTGAATTAATTGCAGAACTGGCAGACGGAGTAATGAATCCATTGAACTGCAGCCGTTGCACATAGGCACGTCGGGTGTGGGCAAGAGTGCCAAAGGAGTCCTCAGGCGGATGCCACGCGTGAGATCTGACGATATGGCAAATGACGACGAACACCCGCAGCCGCCGGAGAAGTCGCCGAGCCCCATTGGAGCCGGTCTTCCGCTGCTGGCGCGACTGCGGCTCTTGAAGGAGAAGCAGGTTCGATAAAATTCAATTAAGCCCACCAAAGTTAATTGGCTTTTCAATATTACAATCATAGAGGGACTATAGATATGTATATTTTGGAGGAAATTCTCCCACTTCACGAGTGAGACATTCGTGCTGTTCTATTCGCCAGGAAGCATATATCCACTCCTCTGTCTCTTTGTGTGTCTCCCAATTACTCACTTCAATCCACAAGCCTCGCATTCCTCATGTGTTGACTTTGTGTGCTGTGCGTGTGACATTGTTTCTGTTTCGTCTCTGCACTCACAGGATCGTGAAGAACGTGCTGTGAAAGCTGCACCTCCAATGATTACATCACCACATACTCATGTTACATCCACTGTATCACCGCAGGAGTCAATTCAGGAGGAGCCCGAGCCAGAAGTGATTGGGGCAGGTCTCCCACTTTTGCAACGACTGAAACTCCTCAAGGCGAAGGAGGACAAAATTGCCAAGGACACTCAATCGAAGGTAACTGCAGTTACACATGTAATGAGAATGGAAGTTGGTTGCATTCAGTGATGGGTCAATTTCCGCCGTTCTTCGATATTGAATGAAATGACGAAGACCATCTCAATTACGGCCAATAATCTGAGGTTTCACTGAGAAAACAGTCTATAAAACTTTTAAATTGACTGAAATTGAATTGGCAGGATATAAAAATTGTACAAATTTCTTTCTGGATGGTATTTTAGTAAATTCTCACTTCATTTCAGCTCTTGCTTTAAACATTTCAAGACAGTTTTAATAAGTCCATGAAAATTGTGCAGAACTTTTTCCTATTTTGTGTCCTGATAATATGTTCACAAGCTAAAGTATATATTACACTCCCATCATTGAATGCTGTTGCCCAAGAGAGCGGAAGAGCGTGTGTTGTATTAATGGTCGAATCTCGAATTTAGAGTCAACTCGTGACGACACAGAGCACAATATCAGTTCCTGCAACAACAGCGTGTATCCTCTCGAGTGCGCCTAGTGTTAAGCAAACCTCTTCTGTCCTGACTCCGAGCACATGTCTCGCAAATCCGTCCCCACTGCCAAAACCCACCCTCAAGGTGTCCTTCAAGGATCGCATAAAGGCTCTCCAGGGTGCATCGACGACACCCACTGAGCCGCAGATAGCCGAGAAGGAGGAGAGCCACGCACAGCCCCCGACCGAGTCCACTGGGGACAGCATGAAGCAGCAGCTTCTGCCGTCGACCACGTCGATCATCATCACGAAGATATCGAAGCCGTCCACGAGTATTTCGCTCAAGGAAAAGATCAAATCCTCCCTGGGCGGGGCGCCCAAGGAGGAGCCCCTGAAGCCCTGGTCGAAGCTCAAGCTTGCCACGGTGGTGAGTTCCGGCGGTAGCTACACGAGTCTCAATAACAGCTTCACTGAGGAGTCCCCGACAGCCTCCCTGCCCAGGGCCACCACCGCCGACACCAGGCCCATCGTCGCCAGCCTGGTGGCGCCTGTGCGGCCGAAGGACTGGAAGCTGCCCATGCGGAAAGGGTTCAAGAGCAAAGACAACCGCACCAGCGTGAGCGACAGCGAACAATCCATCTCGTCGCAGCCGAAGACGAAACCCTTGAAGGTGCAGAGGAAGCCCAAGAACTATCGCTCTGTGGACGATCTGTCGCCAGAATACAGTGGCTTGCCGTTCGTGAAGAAGCTCAAGATCCTGAATGAGCGACAGAAGCTGGCGGAGCTGGAGCACGTGATTCAGACGCGCAGCTTCAGTCTCGACTGCCCTGAAGCCATCGTGACGCCCATTGAGGAGCCCCTGACGCGCAGTCACAGCGAGGCGTCAGGTATGGCCAGAGGCAGAAATGGCAACATGTGCTTGCCCAAGAGTGTGCCCATCCACGAGCTGGACTACCTGCACACGCCCTTGTCGCCCGAGTCCAATGAGACGCTGGAGCGTCGCCACCTGAAGAGCATCCTGAAGCGCATGACGGAGGATGGGAAGGTGAAAGAGTCAGTTACACCTGAGAAAGGGCAATTGACGGAGGCCGAGGGCATAATAAGGGCGCCCACGATGGAAGGGTACGTGGCAAGACACAGCAAATTTATGAAGAGCGTAACCTTCAATAACACTCTTTCCAGTCCGCCACACAGTGCAAATTCACTGATTGAGGCGACCGCGGACGAACGAAACTCCTTCCTCAGTTCCCCATTTAGCGCACAACCCTGCGACTTCCACGGTCCCGTTCCCCCGCCCGCGTCGCTGCCCCTCACCCTCACCACCACCACCATTAGCAAGAGTCCCACGGCGCTCACTCACAAAGGCACTCACGAGACCTTTACCACTGAGCGCTACTTCCGCGAGGAATTCGTGACGCTCCCGGAGGACGGCAGATACCTGCCCAGCTCACCGTTCAGCCTGGCGAAGCAGAAGTTCTTCAAAGGTAAATCCCTCGTGGCAGTTTGCTTAATTCCCCCCACAATGAGATGAAGTCATTTCCCACCAATTGTGCTTCATGATGGTCAGAATGTGCCTTTCATGTCCTTGTTGTGCTCTTCTTTTTCTCTTCTCTTTATTTTAGGACACATTTTAGGATCAACCCTCTGCACGATCCTCTGTCGCTTTGTGTAATGTGATAGACTTTATATTTATAGTCATTTTTACCACCACTAAACTCTTGAGTGATCAGAGGACAATAAGTGTGATTAAAGAGCGAGAAAGCTCTGAGAAATGCACTTAACAGTTGCGATTTTAAGTTAGAAGCGTTTATTGCCAATTAACAACACATTAATCCTATAATTAATACAAATTATGATCTAATGAGACTTCTCAGATACTTATTGTCTTCTGATTATCAAACACATTTTTATGCAAACGATAAAACTAATATGCTTGAGCGAGTTTTTCCAGAGAACTCAGCCACTCAGCTCAACTCACAGAGTCAAAAATCACAACACTGCCACACAGAAATGGTTCCCTGTAAATAAAAACCACCAAAACCAACCGAGACACTCTTTGATCACTGTTAAACCACCGTAGAAGACCTCCACAGAACCCTCACCGGATGTCGATGATCCCGCATAGAACAATTGCGGAGTCCTTGCTAACGCTCTCAATTCCTCACTTGCAGGATCAATTGAAGATCAGGAGTACATTGGAGAGGTTTTGCTGGGCGTTCGGCATGTTGTGCACAATCACATGCGCGACGTGCAGAGCAAATTCTACGGCAAGTTCATCAGCATGGAAGTGGAGATCACGAAGCGCGACGAGATCATCACGCAGCTGCAGCAGCGCATCACGGAGCTGGAGGGGCCGGATGGCGATGAGCTGGCGGTGTCGCCGGTGGGCGAGGCGATTCGCGAGGCGCACTCTTCGGGATCGGGCAGCTCAGCGTCGAGTATTGAGCTCCCGTTCATGGTGAGTAATGTAAGTGTTGTGAGACGTCCTCGTGAAGCGTTGCGTGTGTGCTTCTGCTTTGAGTCTCTATGTTGTGTCTGTGGGTGGGTTTGCGGGGCTGATTGGTGTCGATCTCTTGCAGCGCGGCGACTCGCTGGACACGATATTCGCCTCGTCGCCACCATCGGAGCCGGACAGGAGGCCAAAGTCGCGACTGAGGAAGCGCAACTCGCCGAAGCATCGCACGGAGCGCACAAACAACCGATCGTGGGAGGAGAGCAGCGATCAGGAGAGCATCGAGATGCAGGAGTTGCCGCGCTCGCTGAGTCCGTACAGGCAGGAGGTGCTGGTGCAGGACATCACGGGGAACCTGACCAGGATCAGTGCCGACAGTGTGATACTCAACATCGAGGACAGCTCGGCCAGCTACAGCTCCAGTGAGTCTCAAGTGGATGGTCCGGATGACGAGGAGGACGGCGCGCGCGACGACGAGCTGCACTGCGACGACTGGGAGATCCGGATGCTGGCGGCGGAGATGGACCGGCGCGAGCAGTCCGAGTCGGCGCTGTCCGTCGTGGCGGAGGCGTCTGGGAGTCAGGAGGAGACGACCGTGCGCCGCCGGCGGAAGCGCAGCGACACGGACACGGAGCCGAGCGAGCACGAGCCAGAAGTCGTGACCAGTCGGCCCAGAGCGGGCAGCCTGGATCACCACAATCTGCGGCGAGCGGGATTCGGCAGCCGACCCAAGAGCGTCTTCAAAGCAATGAGCTTCGATCGCGACAAAGACAGACTCTGAGAATTAACATGCGAGATCTGCATGTACGTGTGCATCGACTAGAGTTGATCCACGCGAAGAGAACATTTCAAATGATGATTTAGCAATTAGTTCCGTGAGTTGACAGAGATAAAAGAAAAAGTTTAATATTTAATTCGACCAGCATTGTGATTTATTACTTAAAGAAAAGAAATTAAACTCTAGTGTTAGAGAGAAAGAAGGTGGAAATATTATGAAAAGCAACAAATAGTCCCATTTTTATTCTTATTGATAAATTCCTTCCATTTCCGAGCGCTGATTAGAAGAAGAGGATATAAAGAATATTACTAAAAAAAAGAAATATTAAAATTAATTGACTAAAAGTATTTGAAGAAAAAAAATGACATTGTGAATTGTGTTACAAGGAATTCTTTAATTGCAATAATTCCAACTACGTTCATTAAAACCAATTGAAAAAAGAACTTTAGGAGAAAAAATGAATATAAATTTATTGTATAAAAAATAAAGGGTTAAAATCTGTAAACAATAATTTTGTAGGAAAAAGAATATGAAATATACCAAAAAAGAAAACCAATTTTCTGTGATACGCGCGAACGCGATGTGTGAGCGAGTGAAATATGAACGGGAAAATTATTTAAAAGAAGAAAAAAAATTGAGAAAAAAATACATTAACACACTTTAAACAAATAAAATGAAAAGAAGGAAGTATTAAAATAGAATTAACATATCAAGAGATAAATGGAAAAGTTTGTTTCTTTCTGATAAGTGGAAAATTTCTGGCCATTTTCTCTTCTTTTCATTCTGGCAGGAAAAAAAAACACAATTGATAAGAATTAAGACACGGAAAAAAGACATGAAATTCGTGATTTTTCTTTGCTCACAGACCACAAAATGTAAAAGATTTTACAAGTGCCAAAAAAACAATGAATCATGTTCTCTTATTGTAGAATCTTTTCATGTAGTTCTCACGCGACTTTCAAAAGAAAAACCCCCTAAAAAAGAAAAGAAGAGTCCAAACATATTTGCTCAGTCTCGAAGAAATGCACGTTCCTCTTACTTTTAGCCGCCCACATTCGTGGGACATAACAGATCGTATATTTTAGGCTAAAGAAAATCAATTGATTGGAATTGAGGAAAGGCTTTTTCCATTAGATGCAGTTTTATTGGCTCATTTTGAAATTTATTTTACTTCATTTTCATGCGGAAACTGCAATTCAACTAATGTGAAGCTCAATTTTCTTTAGCGCATTTTCAGAGATATAAAATAAAACCAATGAAGATTCTTTCAATCCTCTGTACCACAAAGAAATGAGCTTTAAGCTTTCAGACAGTTTCTATAAAAAATATATATATATATATATATAAAAGAAAAGGAAGTTAGTAATGTACTTAACAAATGACCTAAAATGAGAAAGTGTTATTAAGAGAAGAGAGAAATCCCCGAGGAAAAAAAACAGAAATAATTATTTTAATGACAGAAATTATAAACAAGGAAACCTTAAAAAAATGTAGCAGAGGAAATAATTCTATAATAACAAGAAAAAAAATTAAGATCTTAGAAGAGGTAAAAAAATAGAATATAATAAAAACAAAAAAAATTATTGAAGAAATATTAAATGAAGAAAAAAAACTATAAAATAGAAAAATAAACTTTAAAATAAACACGTTCGACCAAGTAAAATTTCATATATGTAGCGCAGAGTATATTTTTAAAAGAGTCGAAGAGGAAGTAAACTCACGCAGAGCACAAGAACAGTTGACGTGAATATTGATAATTTCCTTTTTACGAAGATAAACAAAATGCCACTCAAAACGGTCATTAACAATGAATTTATACACCTGCAAATTATCTTCGAAAGATCAATAAATAATAGATTTCTTTTTCTGTAGCAGACAGAAGAAAATGAAAAAAACCAGATGAAGCAGTTTTAAAGAAGAATTTCTAGTGAAGCAGGAAAAGTGTTACAATTCAAATCCAAGAAAAAAAGTATGAAATTATATAAAAAACAAAAAAATACAATAAAGTTTAATACTTATAATTATCTTAAAAGTATTTAAAAGAGAGAAAGTTTATATTTAGTCTTCACTTGTAATCGAGAGAAATGTTGTAAAAAGAAAACCTAAGCAGGGATGTCCACCAGTGACAGTTAAAGACTCAAATGTGGCCGATTGTCGTGCTCGGTCGGTTTCGCACCTGCTCGGGTGGCAATCGTGTGCGGATGCCGCGGAGATTCAAATTGAAACCGACGCGCAGCACGCTGGACATCGCTGCCTTAACGCGGGAGGAAAGGAAAAAAAAAACATTATTAAATCAAGAGATGTAGACTTTTTCTTCTTTGAGAATTTGAAAAAAAAAACAATTGTTACATTAACAAAGAGAAGATGAATAATTTTGTTGGCCGAGAGCAGGACAGAGAGTCTCAAAATAAAAATATTTTAGAAATCCTCTGACTCACTCTCACTCAGATACTTCTCCAGGATCATGTGGCTCGCTCTCTCGGCTATCGCGGCGATCACAGAGTTGGGAAAGGCCGACAGGGGTTGAATGAAGACGCTGCCGTCGATGACGCGCAGCTTCCGCACGCCCTTGACTCGCAGCTGATTGTCCAGCACTTGTCCGATGGCGCACGTGCCGCCCGGATGGTGGCCAGACACGGACACCGTCCGGATGGCGCACTCGAGGAACTCTTCTGTGGGCTCCTTTCCTTCCGGCGGAATCACGTGGCGACACTGCCTGAGCTTCGGCCAGTGAATCTGCGAGCCGATCTTCTGGAAGAATTTCGTCTGAACCACCTTCATTCCCAGCTTCAGCGCATCTCTAATGCACTGCACATCGCTTATGTTGGCCAGGAAGTTGGGATCAATGAGAGGCGCTTTGCTTATTGCACTGCCGCGCAGACCAACGAATCCTCTGCTCTGCGGAAAGTGACACGTCCCGATGAGAATGAATCCCTCCTGCGTGTGATTCCCATTGAGTGGGAAGAGTGCGTTGAAGGTCTCCAGGTCGTAATTCGAAATCACCTTCAGCGACGCTTCATCGGCCGATCCAATGCCGAAAATCATCAAGCTGTGCGACGCATTCTTCTCCCTCACCGTCCCGATTATGGCGGCATTGGAGAGAATCCCTTTGCCGTTCACGAAGTACTTGAAGGCATTCTTGAGGCTCAATACTTTTTCCCTGGTCACGGAGAGAGTCTCATTGATGGAGACGTAAATGGGCGTCGTGAGGTGATCGAAGAGATTCCGCCCGACGCGTGGCGAATTGTGCACCACGTCAATGTTGAATCTCTTCAGCTCCTTCTCCTCACCCACGCCAGACACCATCAGCAGATGTGGGCTCTGAATCGCTCCGGCACTCAAGATCACCTCTTTGCGCACCTTTATCAGCCTCTGTCCAGTCTGTGACTGAATCTTCACGCCGATCGCCCTCTTGTCACCATCGAAGATCACGCGCTGCACTTGCGTGTGCATCATGAGGTGGAATTTGGGGCGCCGCAGACTGGGATAGAGGTACTCATCGAAAGCCGACCACCTGCGCCCGTTCTTGGTCGTGTACTCAGCCAGACGGAATGTGTAATTAGCCTCGTTCCTGAAGTTCAGCTCCACTGTGGCCTTGTTCAGGATGTGAGACAATTTGCTGGTCTCCGTGTCGATGAATGTCTTGTGAAATCGCCTCGCATTCCAGAACCTCTCGTGGCACTGCAATCCGCTGCGATAGAGCTTTGCCAGGTAGCACTTGAGCGACTCAAATCCCCAGTACTTCCCGCCCAGCTGCATCCACTGATCCAGTTCTTCTGGCACTACTTCTGAGTGCAGCATGTAGTTCAGCTGCCCAGAGCCACCGAGCCCCTTTCCGCGCGGATAGCACAGCCGGCGGCCGTGCATGCCGCGTCCCACGTGCTCCTGCTGCACCGTCCTGAAAGCCCAATCCACAGCAGAGCCCTGGAGAAGCGTGCAGGCGAGCGGAATGGACGAGAGCCAGCCGAACTGACCGCCCGCCTCGATCAGCAGCACGGAGAAGTTGCTGTGCAGGGAGATCTCGTGGGCCACAATAATGCCCGCCGTGCCGCCGCCCACCACAATAAAATCATACTCCTCGCGGAACACCCGCCTGCTCCGGACGTACGTGCTGTGGTACAGATAGCCCGCCCAGATGACGGCGAGCAGCAGCACGGCACAGGAAAGAACCACTAAATTCCTCATCGACGCTACTCGGTGGGAAAACACAGAAGCACTGCGCGGGCGATGAAAAAACAGGAAGAAAATCGAAGAGCACATTTTCGCTTCAAATGCTTTTCAGGGGCTCGTCAATGGACGAAATCCAGACCGAATTTCCGCGGTGGGAAGAAGGAAAAGAGAAAATATTTCGGCTTGGGAACCTCCTCAAGTGCTCAATGACGAGCCTCGAGCTTTTCTCACTTTTCGCGTAACTCCGGCAAATCCAATTAAAAGCCACACACTCTGTCTGGTGGCTCAATGGGTAAATGGAAGGTCTATTTACATCACTTCTTCGTTTTCCTGTTGCCTCATTTTCTCACTCGCCGTTTCAGCCAATATTTACGTCACGAATGAAAATCAAACAATCGGGAGGAATTTCAATCGACAGATCCAAATGTTAATTTGCAATTAAATTGTACACAAACCGCTATTTATGCCTCCATCATCATCTCTCTGCTGTCCTCCATCGCCTCCTCCTCCAGCCTCTTCTCGAGCTCTCTCGCGGGAACGTACGTGATCTCCTCCTCCTCTTCCTCATTCTCCACGTCCTGGTCCATCTGGCTCTCCTCCAGCTCCTTCTCCTTGGCCCGCCTCTCGCGCAGACCCGCCGCCGGGGAGCGAATCAGTGACATGTTCTTCTGCACATCCTTCACGTCCATCTCAATCTCCACTTGCGTGCCCTTCCGCAGGCGCTCCATGACGAAGTGCTTCTCCCGCCGCTCCTTGATCTCCGTGATCTTCTGCATGGCGTCCAGCGTGCGACTCCACAACTCCCGGTTGTACTTGATGGGAACATTGCGGCGCTTCTCGAACTCAAAGCTCGGGTCAACTGTGAGCTCCTTTCCAGCAGTCTTTCTGTACGCCTTCGTCCACCTGGTCTTGCGTGGGTTCTTCTTCATCTTAAATGCCCTGTGGCACTTTGATCTGCAGAACTTGAACACCTGAAATCAACCGAGAAAAGCCATTAGCGCTCCGGGAAGATATAAACTTCTCACTCCGCGCTCACCTTGCAGTCATTTCGCACGAACTGCACACCCTTTCCTGGGTAAATCTTTGACGAGCAGAAGTAACACGTTTCTATACGCATTTTGTCACGATTTACGCTCTAATTTGGAATGTTTTCCCTTCAAGAGAAAACGTGTTTTCACCACCACGATTTGGACCAAAAATGAGGTTATGGCAACTGGCATGCCAATGGCGTGATAGAAAAATTCTATGTTCGTTTGTTTACATTTTACGCACCGTTGTTTTTTACGCTCACGCTCGGGAAAACTGGGATTTTCCTCCTGTTTTCTCAGTTTTCTCCCTCAAAATGCTTCAATTTGAAAGTCGAAGGGAAAAATCCGCATACTTCCATACACTGTCATCAGTTCTCTTCCTTCTCAGAGGCAAAAGTATCGTGGTTGACTTGAAGAATGAGACAATTGTGTGTGGCATTCTCGATGAAGTCGATGGGTAGTGAAAATAGCGGAAAACTCCCTGGGAAAGTCTTGATTTTTGCAAATTCACCCTTTCTCTTGCAGATACATGAATGTTAGCCTGCGAAAAGTGGTGTTTGTGGATGAAAAGGGCGTCCAACGCATGTTTGACCAATTCTATGTTCCCAAACGCAAAATACGTTTCGTTCACCTGCCGAAGTTGGAGGTAAGAATTCCCCAGAAAATTTCCATTCATCGCCTATCTGCCTCGTGTGCTCACACTCTCATGTCCAATGGCCATGGCAGGACGCATAATCGGTGCGAATCTCGATGCGCGCCTTCGTGGGAAAATAATCAAAATGCTACCACGTCACAGAAATGTCAGCTGTGGGTGAGGTGAAAATTTTCCTCAGTGGGAAAACTGCTCGATTTTCCCCCGAAAAAAGGTCCCAATAGCACCAAATTTAGCATGATAGCCTCGCGTGGATTGAATTACATGCGAACACCGCTTAGTTTAGGTAGGACAATTGTGAAATGCCACGCTGTGTGCTGCTCAAGGAGTCTCTGGGGTGATTATCACAGTGACTCGGGTGATTTTGGTCAAAAAATCCACTGTAAACATCTCTCAAGGCCACTCAGCACGAGAAGAAGTGTCAGAGCGACGGATTTGGGTGAGAGGATAAGTGAAAAGGCGGACAAGATGGCCAAGAGCTTTAGCCTGAGCGACTACGATTACGTGGGATTCGATCTGGACAACACTGTGCTGCGCTACAATGTCCGAGAGGTGGTGGAGATGGAGTACCAGGTGCTGGCGAAGTATCTCGTGCAGCAGAAGGGCTACACGGCCAAGCTGCTGGAGCCTCTGGACGCGGCCGTGGACTTCCTGCAGAAGGGCCTCATTCTGGACTGCGAGCGAGGCAATGTGCTGCGCATCTCGCGCACCGGAATCGTCCTCAGGGCATCTCATGGCACTCGCTTCCTCAGCGATGACGAAATTGTGGCCTACTATGGCGCAGAGAGGCGCTGGAATCTGGCGGAGCAGTTCAAGGAGGACATCCTGGCCATCTGGAATGGTCCAGTGTCGCTGAAGCTGCGAAATCTGCTCGACTACTTCGACATGCCCGTGTCGCTGCTCTTCAGCCGCATTGTGGACGCGATTGACGCTGAACGCGGCGGCGTGCAGCCGCACTACACCGTCTGGCCGGACATCCTGCAGGGATTGGTGCACATCTACTCGCGCGAGCACTTCGAGAGCGGCGTGAGTGAGTACTTCAATCTGCTGCGGGCGCATCCGGACAAGTTCCTGCTCAAGACCAGCCCCGGTGTGATCGAGTGGCTGCGAGAGCTGAAGCGCACCAAAACCACCTTCCTGCTCACCGGCTCCAATTCGGACTTTGCGGACTTCTCGGCCGGCTATGCCCTCGGGAAGCAGTGGCGCGACCTCTTTGACACCGTCATCTGCTTCGCACGGAAGCCGGCGTTCTTCTTCGACCAGAGCCGACCCTTCATCAACGTGTCCGGCTACCAGGAGTGTGGCCCAGTGCCGGCGGATCAGCTGCGCATCGGCAAGCTCTACACGCAGGGCAATGCGCGTGATTTGGTGGAGATTCTAAAGCAGAAACAGCCCGTGGACAAGCCCAAAGTGCTCTACATTGGCGACAATCTCATCCAGGACGTCTTCGCGCCGTCCACAGTGTGTGGCTGGGACGCTGTGGCGGTGTCGGAGGAGCTGCAGTGTCGCCAGTCGGATGAGGAACTCCTCACGTCCACGTGCTGGGATTCCTACTTCAGCTGCGCCGGACACAAGTCCTTCTGGAGTGAGATCATTGAGAAGCACTCCAGGATCTGCGTGCCATCGCTGGACGTGCTGGCGCAGAACCCAATCGATCACTCCTACCCGGCCTTTGGCGAGGACTCTGAGACACGAGGCTATCACAAGTAATTCCCCTAATACTCCATGTATTCTATATTATTAATCCTAGGCGCCCATCGTGAGCCTCCTGGAGGCCCAATTTGCCGGCCCCTCGACTCGCCCGCGAACCACGAAGGACACTCCCAAGTCCTTCAAGCAATTGCGCAGCCATCGCTACCAGCAGGAGATCCTGCGTGAAATCAGGACCACAGCAGAAGAAAATAAAAAATGCAACAATAGCAATAAAACGGATGTATAAAAACCGATTCCCAACCGATTTGTGCACACTTTTCTCTCGTTCCCTGCCATTTTAGGCTCTCTCCACGGCTATTGCGATGCCCATGCCGCCGCCGATGCACAGCGACGCGATGCCCTTGCGTGCGTTCGTGCGCTCCATGGCGTACAGCAGAGTGACCAGCACGCGACAGCCGGACGCCCCGATTGGGTGGCCCAGCGCGATGGCGCCGCCGTGGATGTTGATGCGCGCCGGATCGAGCTCCAGCTCGCGCTGCACGGCGATCGCCTGGGCGGCGAAGGCCTCGTTCAGCTCGAACACCTCCACATCCTCCTTGCGCCAGCCCGCGCGGGCGCACACGGCGTTGACCGCCGGCACGGGGCCGGCGCCCATCATGCGCGGATCGACGCCGCCCTGGGCGAAGGCCACAATCCGCGCCAGAGGCTGCAAATTGCGCCGCTTCATCTCCTCCTCGCCCATCAGCAGCACCGCGGCGGCGGAATCGTTGATCCCCGAGGCGTTGGCCGCCGTGACTGTGCCAGTGGGATTGAAGGCCGGCTTCAGCTTCTGCATATCCGCCAACGAAGCGCCATGCTTGGGATACTCATCCTGGGTGACCTTCGTCTCCACGCCCTTGCGATCCTTCAGCGTCACGGGGACGATTTCCTTGTCGAAATACCCCTTCTTCTGGCTCTCCTCCGTCAGCTGCTGCGACCGGAGGGCGTAGGCGTCCTGCTCCTCGCGCGTGATGGAGTGTTTTTCAGCCAGATTCTCCGCCGTGACGCCCATGTGGATCTTGTACTGCGCGTCCGTGAGTCCGTCCACCAGCATCGTGTCCACCATCGTGCCCGGACCCATTCGTACGCCGTCCCTCAGGTGGATGGCGTGCGGCGCCTTCGTCATGCTCTCCTGGCCGCCGCACACGACAATCGTCGCCTCTCCGCTGCGGATGGCCTGGAAGCCGAGCTGCACTGTCTTCAGCCCAGAGCCGCAGAGCATGTTGAGCACGTAAGCGGGCACATCCAATGGCAATCCCGCCGCCAAGGCTGCCTGACGTCCTGGATTCTGACCCTGACCGGCTGTGAGAGCCTTCGCGGAAAAACACCGGATAAATAAACACAGGCCATAAAATATGTTTACATCAATCTCTGGCGTGAGATGTTTAAATTACCTGGCCTAAAATAACTTCAGAGACATCTTCGGCCTTGACATTCGCTCGCGAGAGCACTTCCCGGATCGCCACGGCTCCCAAATCTGCCGCCGAGAGCTTCGAAAAGCACCCATTGAAGCTGCCTGGAAGATTGTGAGTGAATAATTACCTCATTTGCATCTCAATTGGGTGAATTGAAAGACTTCTGTGCATCGTGATTGCTGGAGATTCTCCAGAACGTCCAGATTTTCACTCACCGATTGGCGTCCGGGCAGCTGAGACGATGAATACATTGGTTAGAGACATTCTTCCGTGGCCAGAGACACGTCACAAGAGAGACACTGCGATGCGGGCGAAGGTGAAAACGGTGAAAATCAACACTTCTTTCGCCGGCTGGAGCTGAAGAGCGACTGCCGGAGGAAGGAAAGAGAAACACGTGAGGCGCAGAACAAATGAGTCAAGTGGGGAAATATGAGATGATGAGAGCGTGAGAATGTGAAGCACAAATACACACAAAAACGCACCGCATTTAAATCACATTATCATGTGAAACTGAGTGTCTTCGCTGAGATTTTGTTGTTCGTCATAGAAAAATTAGCGGGGAAAATTGTTAAAATTGCTTGGAAAAATGCATTAGCAACAGAACAGAATTGGCCAAAATCGGCTCAATGGAGTCTTATACAACTTCTTATAAAGATAACACCAGAGAAATTGATTGATAGCGGGATTAGTGGAGAAAAATCTCCCCTGCTGCGTGAGATATCAACAGTGAATTGCTTTATTCGTTTTATATAAGATAGTGACGCGATAAGGAATAAATGACTTCATTTATGTTAATTTTCTGTATTTCACACAGCATTATCTGGAAGAAATTAAAGGCAAAAATCAATTTTATTCTATGGTAAATCGCTGTTTACTTTCCCACGCAAAACTCTTTCAATTTGTCGCTGAATTAGCCGAGTCACCCACCACACCCTCTAGCGGACAGTAGCGAATGCGTTGGCGCGCATGAGGAAATGAAATTCGAGTGCAACGCACTGCATTTTTGCAAATTCTATCGTGGCACTTATCTAATGATGGCAAAAACCAACAATAAGCCCAATAGGCGTCTGTATTGGAACAACATCTCGGCTCTTATGGAGAGACCAAAAAATCAATGCTGGGAACGCGAGTTATGTAAAAACCCGCCGCGAAGAAGTGCAATTGCTGCACTTTGTGCAAGATTGCTCAGTAGACTGCTGCATTTCGGTGAGCAATGTCGAATGTTGTGTGCCAAGACGTCTTCCTGCCGTGGGAGCTGAAGAAGCGCGCGCGCTGGTACGGCGACTTCAGCATGATCACGGTGAATCTGCGCCAGAGACCCGAGGATCTGCCCGTGGCGCGCCACTGGTCCCTGACGCCGTGCTTCATGCCAGAAATGTATCGCGACTACGCGCAAAAAATCGAGCAGTTTCGCGCGCGAAGTGACGACGTCTTCGTGGTCTCGCAGCCAAAGTGTGGCACAACTTGGGCACAAGAGCTTGTGTGGATGATCAACAATGGGCTGGACTACGAGAGGGCGAAGGAAGTGAATCAGGACGCGAGATTTCCCTTTCTAGAGTGAGTTTAGCAGTGAATTAAGTGGATTTCAGGTGCTAAACAGACTTCTTTTCCGCAGGATTGGATCCATTTTCCCACCGCACTGCAACATTGAGTTGGACAGCGTGGAAAAGTGTGAACGTCTGGCCAGTCCGCGTCACATTAAGAGCCACCTTCCGGCTCATCTGCTGCCCACAAGTGTGTGGCGCGTGAAGCCCAAGATAATCTACGTGGCGCGCAATCCGAAAGACGCCTTCGTATCTTTCTACCATCACACGAGGAATCTCAACGGCTTTCTGGGCTCCTTCGAGGACTGCCTGGAACTCTTCCTGGCCGGATGCTACAACTACGGCCCATTTCACAGTCACGTGCTGGATTTCTGGCGCATGCGACACGAACCGAACATCCTCTTTCTCACGTACGAAGAGATGAAGCGCAATCTCTGCGCCACCATCGAGAAAACTTCCCAATTCCTCGGCAAAACCCTCAGCAACAGTGATGTGCATCAACTCACCAGTTACTTGTCCTTCGCCTCAATGAAGACCAACGCGAGCGTCAACAAGGCGTACTTTTGTGACTTGATGGCGCAATTCCTGGATCTGGACAAGACACACTTCTCCTTCATGCGTCAGGGCGAGACGGAGACGTTCAGGGACACACTCACTGCTGACCAGATTCAACGCTTCGACGAGTGGACAACGCGTGAGCTTCAGCACACTGACTTTCGCTATTGAGCTCTGCAAGTCTGCGAAACACACTGAAAAGCACATAAATCACAAAACGCGCGCATCAAAGAGTATCAAGACAATCCCAGCGAATCAGAGGAGCTAAAATGTGCTCAAGTGTTTGAGATCAATTTTAAACAGACGACGAGCAAAAGGTTTTAGATAAACTTATCAATTTTCGATCGAAGGAATTTCATTCCCAGCGTTTCCTAGTGTTAATTGTGTTTCATTAGCAATTGAAAGCAAAATTTTCAGTAAATTTTCATGCTTCTGAGCAGATTATGAGCAGAATTGAAGAATTGCGGAAAAATGAGCTTCTCAACACTCAATTTTTAGCACTCTGTGCTCGCTGGGCTGAAGAGGTGTGAAGAAAGTGGGGAATCTAACATTCACATCGCAGGTGAAAGTCGTGATATCACGTGAAAACAGTTAACATTGCAGTTCATTTTTCGACACTAACACCATTCAAAGGGTCAAAACCTTTATTTTAGAGTGAATAATCTTATGCGCAGAGATATTGAAAAAATCCTAATGTAGCAAAAAAAAAAAGTTAATCTTCTCAATAAAGTCCCAAAAAACCAACGACAAAGAGTCGCAGAATTTGGATTGGGGTCAGAGAAATGCTCTCGAGAAATCACCTCATCAGTCCTCCTCAACGCGCTGCTCACGGCGATTCCTGTTGCCACGCCCGTGATCACGATACTCACGATTGTCCCGATCCCGGCGATTGCTGTTCCAGTTGCGATTCTGATTATCCTGATTGCGATAGTTTCCACGATCTCTCATGCCCTGCAAAGATTCACAGTAATTAGCTCATTTCTACACTCTTTTCCCCCTCAATTTTCTCTCTTTCTCACCTGGTTCTTGTTCTGGAAGAAGTTGCCCTGCTTCATCTCGAATATCCTCTCATTGGCATCCACCAGATTCGTCACCTTGTCCGACAGCTGCATCGACAGCGCCTGCAGTCGACTTGGCTCCGATCTGTGCATCACCACAGTCTCTGACGGATCGTCCAGCGACGCCATCAGCTCCTCATTGATGATCATCTTGCTGATGAGCGAGTGCACCTTCGGCTTGGACAGCTCAAACATCGCCGCCAGACTGGGAATACTAATGGACGAGTACACGTTGGAGTAGGTGAAGAGATAAGTGCGCAGCGATTCCTCCTTGATGAACTTCGTCAGCATTTCGCGCACGCGATCTGCTTCGTAGAACAAATCCCACACTTTCGTGTTCATCTTCTTGTTGACAATGAACGTGGCGCAGGCATTCCAGTTGCCACAGCGCATCGCCTTGGCCGCCGCCACGACGTGTTCTCGCATCGACTCAGGCGGACCGACGAGTGACTGACGCTCAGACGATCTCAGCTGCTGATAGAAGGTTTTACTGCAAAGAGACGCAAGCAAATGAGATTAATTATTCAATTATTAATTGTTATATTGAGTAAAATGTTGCGGAATCAATCGCAGAATCACTCCAAGGATATTCTCCACAGTGATTCCCTCAGGATTCCCAGAGAATTTAATCTACGTCAAGTGTGTCTTCTCGCAAGATTGCGCAGCATCTGCCAGAATCCACTTGACGATCAGACACTTTCCCACATGCAAGAAATTAATAATATTCCTCACCTGATCATGCGACGACGAGCATCAAACTCATGGGCAGCCATGTAGGGAATCTCCAGGAGCATCGCAGATACGAGATACACACACTCGAGGAGCTCCAGATTCACATGCATATGGAATGGCATTTGGCGCTGCTTCTCCACCTTCTCCTGCTCCAGACTGCGCTCATGCTGGCGCTGCGGCAGCAATCCCTGCGCCAGCAGCTCACGCGGCTTTCCCGTCATCATCAGATCCACGAGACACTGATGGGCGTCCTTGATGTTGCCCTGGCGGAAGGCGCACAAGCCCAGATTGGCCATGGTTCTGTTGTACAGGATCTGCGTGGGCGGATCCGAGTGTTGAATTGTCTCCTGGAGATGCGACATCAGCACCAGATCGCGCGCCTGGAACCAGTTATCATGCAGAGCATGATGATAGATGTGAGAGAGAATGGCGCGCGTCCGGAGGCGATCTGTGTTGTCCTTGGCATAGATGTAGCGACAGAGTCTCTCCATCTCGTCAATGGACGTCATTGTGTCAGCCGGAAGTTCGCCCTTCTTCTTCTTCAGCACATTCGGATCGAATTTGTAGTAGAAGTGCTCAATTTTGCGCAAATACACACGGCAAATCTCCGTCTCATTGCCCATGCTCTCCACATACTTCAGCACTTGCTCAATAATGTCCGTCACCGTCATCTCATCCTTCAGTCGCTCCACATACTCATTGCCATACGGATCGCACTCCTTCAGCAGCTTCGTGAACTCATCGTCCAGACGCTCAGCCGCCGTCAACGTGCATCCACACACCATGTACGGCTCCGTGTCGTACTCCTCGCCCTCCTCCATCACAGACTCCGACAGTGTGATGTTCTTCGTGGTCAGCAGAATGTTCAGCATCTCCTTCATCATCACCAGCAACTTCGACCACAATTCCGGCTTCATCGGCTCCGAGATCTTCGGGTTGTAATCAAACACAGCCGAGATGATGTTGAAGCGAATCTTCACGGCGATCGCCTGACCCAAATTGTGCGCCTCCGCAATGCCCATCAGCTCATACAGCAGCTCAATCTGCATGCGTCGATCTGTGCGCTTCTTTCCGCGCGCCGCCATAATCTCCACCAGTTTGCTCAGCACCAAACTCACGTCGATCTCCTCGTCCTTGCTGAACATTTTGGGCTTCTCCGTGGACGTCGCCGGTCCCTTTGTCACCGTGCGCCACACATTCGAGTCATCCTCGTCCTCGCGCAGCTTCTTCAGCTTCCCCTCCTTGGCCTTCTTCTTCTTCTTCTCATAGTCCTCGTCCTTCTCCTCCTTCTCCGTCGTCTTCTTCAGATACCGCTCGCGAATGTTGGCGTACTGCGTCTCCTCCTCGGAGGAATCATAGTCACTCTCGCTGTCCGAGCCCCAGTCTGTTGACTCATCGGATTCCTCCTCGCGTGGCGCCTTGCTGGGCTTCTCGCTTGGCTCCTTCCTGAACGACACCGCCTTGGAGGCTGGCGTCGCCTCATCCTCCGACGATTCATCCTCCTCCACAGCTCTCTCCTCGTCCTCCTCGTCATCCATGTCGGGCGCCTCGCGGAACTTGGTCAAATCCTCCTCGAAGTCCTTGATGTACTTGCGGAACTTTTGACGCAGCGTCCCGAGGCTCTTGCTGTTGTTCTTCGACAGATTCTTCCGGCCCTCGCGATCCTCCCACATCTCATTGATGAACGTCTCCAGTTCCGCCAGCGAGCGAATGATGAAGCGCGGCGTCACGCCATTCTCCTCCTTGGCAATGATGGGCTGAGCCTTGAGGAAAGCCCGCGTCAGATCTTCGAAGCTCGTCAAGATGCTCGACATGTCCTTGATTTTCCGGTAATTCCTGATGTTCTTGATGATGTTGGACAACTCCTCGTAGCGCTTCTCCTTTGTGGATCGCACCACTCTCTTGACCTCCTCCTCATCGTCGCTGAACTGAAAGCAGGAAAAGGAGAAAAGTTGCATTCGTGGCGGAAACGTGAGAAAGTCACTTTGGAACTCACAGAGAATTGAGCAGTGACGGCCTTGTGTTGAATCTGCTCATCATCACTCAGGGACTCAGATTCTGAGTCAGAACTTCCTGTCGCGAAGAAACGTGGCATTGTTCCTCAATTTCAGCAAACAATCTGGAAACACAGGAACTTCATGTTAACTTGCAAATCTCTTCCCGCAATTTTTGGGGTTATTCCGGAGTGTTGAGTACGAGAATTCCCCTCCGGACTGCCCATGTGTCAGCGATGTAAAATTTTCACGAGCATTTCCCATGGAAAATATCACACTTTGCCCCAATCCCTCTACACATTCACACTCCCCCGTGATCCCATTGCACTCTTACGATACTCTAAGGGCTGAATTTCACGTACATTTTGTAGAAATTTGCTGGAAATACTGCGTGGACACGAAATGCTTGATGGCAAAAAATCCAACTGAGCGATTTGACAGCTCGCACACTCCGGAGTACTAAAGCTGGCGGCACTTCGCCGCACTTCGCCGGGCGGTGCCACCCTGAGAGTGGAGAAGAGACGCCGCTTTGTTGACGGTGAAAATTGTGAAAAAACAGCCAAAGAGGTGGTGGAAAGTGTGTGAAAATGAGCAAGAGGCGGAGGACGAGCTCCGTGGCGAGTCGTCAGGATGACGATACGGACGACACGTTCTCGGAAACCTCGCCAATTGCGGCTTTTATCGGGAGGAAGAAGAAGAAGTGGGATCCCGTAAGTTTTCCGTCACTTTTTAGCATTTTCCATCGTGTTTTGAGGCATTTTCGGCTTGATTCCGCAGACGGAACTGTGCCAGGTGTTGTACGATGCCATCAGGAATCACAAGAAGGAGGATGGAAGCATGCTGTGCGACACGTTCATCCGGGCGCCGAAGCGTCGTCAGGAGCCGTCATACTATGAAGTGGTGGCGAATCCCATTGACTTGCTGCGCGTGCAGCAGAAGCTGAAGACGGACTCCTATGAGGACATCGAGGAGTTGACGAGTGATCTGGAGTTGCTGGTGAACAATGCCAAAGCGTTCTACAAGCCCGAGAGCACAGAGTATCAGGACGCGTGTCTGCTGTGGGATAGTTTCCTGCTGAACAAGCAGAAGCTGCTGGAGGCGATGCAGGATGACACGATGGAGCCGAAGCGTGCTTCTCGGCCCCGGAAGCCAAGGAATCTCTCCACAAATGATCCAGACGACGCCTCTGAGGGCAGCAAAGATGACGACTTCGACACTTATGAGGAACTCTTTGCGTCTGTCGTGACGGCGACGGATCCGCTGGACGCCAGGCCGCTGTACACGGAGTTCCAACTGCTGCCGTCGAAGAAGCTCTATCCGGACTATTATGACGTGATTGAGCATCCGATTGACCTGAAGTTCATCGCGACGAAAATCCAGACGAGCGCTTACACGAATCTCAACGAGATGGAGAAGGATCTGCTGCAGATGATCAAGAATGCGTGCACTTTCAACGAGCCTGGGAGTCAGATTTACAAGGATGCGAAGACACTGAAGAAGGTGTGTTTGGTTGAGAGTCGCTTGGAGGGGAAGAAATGAGGGATTAATCTCTGTTTTTGCAGATCTTCATGTCGCGCAAGGCGGAAATTGAGGGTGGAAAGTTCAAGCCGACGCGTCCGAAGCGGCGTGGACACAGTCTGAGCGCCGTGACGGCGGCTCTGAAGGAAGAGCCGGAGAGTTCAGATGACGATTTGGATGATAATATCGACACTGAAGGCGATGGACCGATGTGGCAACTCTTTGATCAGCTCTACAACACAGCAAATGCTTCTGGTAAGTCTCAAAGACGGTGTAATTAATCATCTTTGCTGTCTTAACATGTCTCCATTATATTTAGTAGTCTCTTAGTCATGTGAATTTTGTGTTTAAATGAAAAATTGGATTGGTTTTTCATTGTTTTTTAATTTCTTTGATTTGTGTTTCTCTTCTTTTTTATACGTTTCCGTTCTCAAATCGCCACATCACACACGCACAAAACCACACACACGTAAAAAAATACTGAAAACAAAATTCTAAATCAATGTGTAAATCCATCAAACACTATAAAGATCATCCTAATGCCTCAGGCGCACCACTTGGTGAGTCTCTGTGGAAATTGCCCAATCGACGCTTCCACCAGGATTACTACAACACGATCAAGAAGCCCATCTCGATGGCACAGGTGCGGAATAAACTGAAGAAGGGCGCGTATTCCAACATCACGGACATGACGGCGGATCTGTACTTGATGCTGGACAATGCCAAGAAGGCGTATCCGAGCACTCACAAGGTGCACAAGGATGCGGTGAAGATGCAGAAGATTCTCAATCAGAAGCTCATCGACACGGGCGTGGGTCAGGATGAGAGTGACACGGAGGACGGTGATGTTTCCATGCCGTCCACGAGTTCTGTGTCGCCGTCAGCGGCGACGCCGGTGGTGAAGAAGAAGGGAAGGCCGAGAAATAGTGCCACTGTGACATCACCGCCGGCGGCTGTGAATCTGCCGAGTGCGGCGCAAGTGCAGAGCGGCGGCGGCAGTCAGATTATCATGACGAAGGGTCGCTTTCCCAACAACCCGGTGCTGAAGAAGAAGCTGCTCGGGCTGCAGAAGTTCCTCACGGATTATGTGGTGGCGGGCAGGCGACCGATGGCGCTCTTCATGGAGAAGCCGTCGAAGAAGCTCTACCCGGACTACTACGAAGTCATCCAGCATCCCATCGACATGAACACCATCGAGATGAACATCAAGGCGGACAGATATGGGACGCTGGACGATGTCGTCGGCGACTATCGGCTCATGTTCTCCAACTGCAGGAAGTACAATGAGGAGGGATCACAGATCTATGAGGATGCCAATATTCTGGAGCGTGCGCTGAATGAGAAACTGAAGGAATTCTCAGGAATACCCGACAGAAGGCTGACGCCGAAGATGTGAGTGGGAATTTTCTTCACATTAAATTCCATTTGATGGCTCAATTCAATTGAAATTGTGTTGCAGAATAAAATCCGGAGGACGAAAGGTCATAACGCCGCTGGACAACAAGCTGAAGCTCTTCTACGATGCCATCAGAGAGTATCGTGAGAGCAAGGCGAATCGTCTGCTTTCTGCTGTCTTCATGAAGCTGCCATCAAAGAGCGTATGTAGAATTTTCTTATTTTCTCTCTCTTCTCACGGTAAAAATGTGTTAGATTGAGTGGTGTTTGAGATTGTTGATGTTAGTGATGCAAAAAACAATCCACTTTATGTAATTTGTTCCCTTTTTTGTATCTTTCTAAATCCATATGGATATGGAAAGAAAAAGGTAACTCGCTATATGTAGAATAATTTGCAAAGTTCACTCAATGAAAATTGGTGTTGATGGAATATCGTTTTCTTGCAAAATACAAGAAATTCTGTGTTATTTCAACTGGTGTTTGGTCTAATGATGATTCTTGTGTATCTTTTAGGATTATCCTGACTATTATGACATCATAAAGAATCCAATTGATATGGAGAAAATAGCCAACAAGATGAAGCATCAAGTTTACGATAGTGTGGATGAAATGGGATCGGATTTTATGTTGATGTTCGAGAATGCGTGCAAGTACAATGAGCCAGATTCGCAGATATACAAAGATGCTCTTGTGCTGCAGCAGATTTGTCTGCAAACCAAGCAATCTCTAAAGTAAGATTGTGGATGAAAAAGTAGTCAAATTGACGATACTAATCATGATTTCTCTCTTTTGTGATCTCTCAACAGTCGCGATGGGAGTGATGAGACGGTTCCTGATGTTCCTCAGGCTGTTCAGGAGTTGCTAATGTGTCTCTTCACGTTCTTCTACAATCACCAGGATGAGGAGGGACGATGCTTCTCGGATTCTCTGGCTGAATTGCCTGAGTATGATGATGTGGATGGGAACAAAGTGCGCGCGATATCGCTGGATTTGATCAAGAGGCGCCTGGACAAGGGACTGTACAGACGCTTGGACATCTTCCAGGAGGATGTCTTCTCCTGTCTCGATCGCGCTCGTCGTCTGTCGCGCACGGACTCGCAAGTGTTTGAGGACTCAATTGAGTTGCAGTCGTTCTTCATCAAGAAGCGCGATGAGATATGCAAGAATGGCGAAGTGTTGAGTTCGCCAGCGCTCAGCTACTCTGCAATGCACTTGAGTGCTGCCGTTGAGGCTGTGCGACAGTCGAAATTGCTGCAGGAGGAGCAGGAGCACGAGAATGACACGGAGACGGCATCAATCAATGGGGAGAGCATGATGATTGACCAGAAAGTCTATTCGCCAGGGGATTTTGTCTACTACGATTCGCCGGACAACAAAGTTCCCGGCGTGGTTTACATCGAGAGATTGTGGACAAATAGTGAGAATGTGAAGATGATGTATGGGAATCTCTTTCTGCGACCACACGAGACGTATCACGTGACGACGAGGAAGTTTCTGGAGCAGGAGTTGTTCAAGAGTGATCAACATCAGGCGATTCCGCTGAGTCAGTTGGCCAATAAGTGTTTCGTGATGTGCATCAAGGACTATATTAAGTATCGTCCGGAGGGATTTGCCGACAAGGATGTTTATGTGTGTGAATCGCGATATAATTCCCGTGCGCGATCATTCAAGAAGATCAAGAATTGGCCCTTTGTGCGCACCAATGATCCGGTGAAGCTGTTGCAGCGTGACACGCCGATTGAGCTGAAGCGCATCATGTCAGTGTTCAAGGAGCGCGTGGAGAAGCACAAGGGTGAGCTGGCGGAGTTGCAGCTGCAGGAGGCGCTGGTGGAGAAGGAGAAGCCAAATGTGGTGATCTTCTCGAATGTGCCGGACGAGGGGAATGTCCACTACGAGCAGTACAACACGATTTGCAGTGGAGTGGTGAAAATAGGAGACTATGTTTACGTCGCGACTGAGGGTGGAAAGCAGGCGATAGCGCAGATCACGTCCATTTGGGAGACGAAGGATGGCAAGTCGTTCTTCCGCGGACCGTGGCTGTTGACGCCCCCTGAGGTGCCGTGCGCGGGAAATAGACTGTTCTACAGGCAGGAAGTGATGCTGTCGACACTGCAGGAGAGCAGCCCGCTGATTGCGATTGTGGGGCGGTGTTCGGTGTTGGATTATGTGGAGTACACGACGTGTCGGCCGACGGAGATTTCGGAGAGTGATGTGTACATTTGCGAGTCGATCTATGATGAGATCAAGAAGCAGATCAGACGACTGCAGGGCACGGGCTTGAGGAAGTTCAGTCACAGTCAAATGGTGACACCGGATGAGATCTATCACTTCAAGACGCCCGTGACGCCGCTGCGCGTGAGTGCGTCGGAGATTGCGGCGCTGCAGGAGCAGCTGAAGCAGTCGACGAATGCATCGGAGATGGACGTGAAGACTGAGGGTGGCGATTTGCTGGGCATGATGGATGACTCCATGGACGGTGGTCCGCCGTCTGTGGGTTCGGACTTTATTGCCACGGCGTCGCCGGCATCGTCGATGCATCTGTCCACGCCGATTTCCACGAAGAAGGGCAAGGGTGGGAAGAAGGTGGTGACTGGCTATATTCTCTACTCGAGTGAGGTGCGCAAGAGCATCAGTGCCAATAATCCCGATGCCACGTTCGGTGATATTTCCCGGATTGTTGGCAATGAGTGGCGCTCGCTGGCGTCGTCGGAGAAGCAGGCGTGGGAGGAGAAGGCCGCCAGGTGTAATGAGGAGAATGCAGCGAAGATTGCCGAGGAGTCGGGCTGTCCCAGTCCGGCGCCCACCTTTGCGCACGATCCCATTCCCAACCAAGTCTTCGAGTGCTGCTGGGACAAGTGCGACTGGCAGTTTGAGGATCCGGCGGATTGCTTCGAGCACAGCATCGCCGACGGCACAGGACACGTGCAGACGCACTGCGCCAGCATGCCCAACAACGAGGTGGAGTACAACTGCCTGTGGCGCGGCTGCATCCGGCTGAAGAAGCAGGCGCCGGCGTTCCCGCACCTGCAGCGCCTCGTGAAGCACGTGCGCGAGGTGCACATCAACAAGGCGAGTGGCCGCATTGTGCAGCCGGCGGATCGCAGCAAGTGAGTTCAAGGCTTTCCCATTCTATTCACTGCTCAATTGAATTATTTTGATGAATTCAAGCTTGAAGTGCAAATTGGAGATTCTTTAACACTCTTGAGTGGGTTTTGAAGAGGAAAAAAAAAATCTGGGAAATTTCGGAAGGAAATCAAAATGAAAAAATAGCGTCACTAATAGAATGTTTTAATCAAAAGGGAGTTTCGTGGCCAGGAAGGTCATTTGTTGGCTTTCGTGTGTTTAAGAAAGTTGCACTTTATTTTGTGACCTTTTCAAATCCGCGCCGATAAGAAGTTTTAAAAGATCAAGCGTAAATAAGGGGTGAAAAAAAAACAGATGCAAAACGTCTCAAATTGACACTTTCTAAGCGAAAGCGTTAAACTGAATTCACCTCAGCTTTGACTTCTCATTTTATTTCTCGCTAAGAAAAGCATATTTTGAAGAGAAAAAAAAATCAAGGTCAAATTGTGGACAAAAATGCCCGATTTTCCCTTATGAAACGATGCAAATCGTGAATTGAACGCATGTTTGTGATCTCATGGAAAATTATAGAAATCACTTTCCTCGATATTCTACTTCTTATCTCCGTTCTCACAATTGAAAACAGTAATAAAGTAATAAATAATATTCTGGAGTGGCGAATCAAAATACGGGGTTTTGCATGTTACTGAGGAAATTATTGAATTGCCGCAGTGGAAAATTTGCCACTGTGTTGACATGACAGAGAAGATAAATGTGCAGTGGTGAGAAAATCTGCTCTCAATGCCACTGAAATTGCTTAATTGGCTAATGAATAGAGTGTTTAATTGTAATATATTAAAATTGTGTGTCTAATGCCTGGATTTAAGGAACTTTGTCGCGATGAAAACGAGCGGAAATGCAAATATCAGTGTTCAAATACCTGCGCAAGGTATTCAAAATATGACTTCGCTGGAGACATCGCCGATTGAGAGTCAAGGTTCAACTCTAGAAGACTTAATTTTATAGATTTCTGTGTGTTTTTTTCCTGCATTTCTGGATTGCATTTTATCATTATTCTTTATATAATATTAGTGTAATTTTCTCTTCTGCATCGTGTTTTAGAAGATGTTCTGATGTGTTTTTTTTCGTTCTTTTCTTTTCGTTTCTTTTTCTCTTGTAGAAACTTTATGCCGTCCAAGAAAACAATTACCGCCACACAATCTCCAATTCAACCAATTGTCCAAACCACCCAATCTTTACCCATTCAACAAAGTCCTCCTATTCAGCAGAGTAAGTTTTTTCGTTCCTGCGATGCTTGGGAATTGATAATGATTTGGAATGCGTTCTTTTTATCTCTCCAACGTTTTATTGAGCTTTGTTTTGTGTAAAATTGATGAAATTTAAAAAATTACATTTTCAACGCGGTTTTTAAAGGTATTTCTTGTGATTTCTCATTTATATTTGTATTTAAATGCATTTTTCATCTCAATAGAACGTTGGTTTTTATTAAAGTGTGGTCAAGAAATTCAGAGATTTTCTGTTGGGAAAATTTTCCAATAACTTTTCTGTCTGATCATCAGTTTTAGCGCTGAATTATCAGCTTAAATGTGTGGAAAATCTCTGGAATGACCTATAATGTTTGACGTGAGAGAGTGCGAGTCATGCGATATTGTGAATGTAAACATGATTGGAACTTCCGAATGCAGCTCTAATCCATGCGATCTCCTTGCAGTTGTCACGACGCCTCCGGTGGAGCCGCTTTTCGTCACGGTGCCGCCGCGTCCGCAGCGCGTTCTGCACTCGGAGGTGTACATCAAGTACATTGAGGGACTGCAGACGGACTCCAGGTTCATCAGTCCGTGGGAGAAGACGCTCAAAGCGAGTCAGGAGACTGTGCCGGCCGTGGAGGCGAGTCGCCTGCCCACGCATTGGCTGGACACGCGCGGCAAGGAGCAGCCCGAGGAGATTGTGAAGGCGCTGTGGAGTTTGAGGAACTACATGATGAAGGACATCGTGCAGATCAAGAGGAATTGTCTGGAGTGAAGCATTTATTCATGGCTCTATGGAATTAAAAAAGAACGGTAATGTGTGAAATGCTAGAGTTTGCTCTTCAGATCCTCGCGGAAGGTGTCCTCGACGAGCTGTAGGACGGCTTTGCCGCAGCCCCACGACAGACAGACGCCGCTGCCGCCGTGGCCGTAATTGTGGATGATGGGAACTTTCCGGCCGTCGTTGGTGATGAAGAGAACCTTCTCCAGGCGAATGTTGTCGCGCGCTGGTCGCAATCCCACCCACTTCTTCACCACTTTGGCGTCCCTCAGCGACGGCTCGATGGCTTCGCAGCCCTCCTGGATGAATTTGTCGTCCTCCTTGGACACTTGCGTGTTGTAGTCGTGCTCCTGATGCGTCCCGCCCAGCACGGTGGTGTCGGAGTTCACGATGATGTAGTTGCCATCGTCGGCGTCGTCCACGTAGGTGGAGAAGAGCCACGGCGCCTCGACGCGCGTCACTTGGCCGCGCACTGGATACACGGCGGAATCGTTGGCCAGCTTCTGGGCGCCCAGGCCGGTGCAGTTGATGATCAGGTCGTACTCTTCGCGCGCCAGGTCGTCGAAGGAATGCACGCGTTTCCGCTCACACCGACCGCCGGCGTTGAGGAATCTCTTGAGCAGGTAGGGCAGCAATTTGGTGGGCTCACACGTGAAGGAGACAAAGTGAATGCCGCCCGTGTAGTTCTTCTTGTGCTCCTGGCTGAGCAGCTTGAGCTGATCCTCGGACAGGGTGGTGCAGCCGAAGGGAATGTGTGACCACGCGGGTATTTCGTAGTCTGTGGCATTGCTCACCACGCGGATCATGGGCTGCAGACACACGCCAGTCTCCTGGGCGAGTCCGTTTCTCCACAGATCGTGGAAGAATCGATGTGTCTCTTCAGACCATTTTCTATAAATAGAGCAAATAGAGACACAATTGTTGGCTTCCACTTGTCGCGACATATAATCTCAATTGCCACTCACAGAACGCTTTTATCGAGGCTCACGAGATAAGGTTGCCACAGGCCGGCTGACCCGTCGCCCGTCGTGTTTGGCGAGATCTCCTCCGACACGATCACCACTTGCGTGTCACTGTAAAAGTGCTCCGCCACCTGCACGGCGGCACTCAGGCCATTCACGCCCGCTCCAATCACTGCAATCTTCCTCATCCTGTGCCGCTGAACTCTCGATCTGGTCTGTCTGGTGTCTCTGACAATACTGGCTGGCAGATCACTGCCTCTCGGGGTTATCAAGGCTCGAAATATGCACACGCGCCTTTTTTTCGCGTAATCTCACCAGATACAGCCGGAGAGGGGATATCACCAGCCCACAGTGGACCCACACTGGTGAATCAATGTAAATCTTCCAGGAGATTACCAACCATTGTCCTCAGCTGAGTCCGGAAAAATACAACGCCAAGCTTCTATACAATGACTTTATTGGCTACTCAACACACCCCTGCCTACTTAATGCCCATCAACTGCTTGATTATGAACTCCGGCAGCCGGCGATTCTTCCAGTACTTGGGTATTGGGGTCTCCGTGGCCTTCCTCAGCTTCTCCTCGACATAGTTCTCGGCCGAGAAGTTTTCCGCCTCTTTGATTTGCGCAAATATTTCCGCCCTGAATGCCTTCTCCTTGCGCATCTCCCGGCGCTGTCTCACCTTCGCCCACTCGAACTTCATCTTCTTCCGCAGCTTCTTCAGCTTGTGCTTCTTCATCTTCTTCCGCCGGATGACAATCATGCGGACGGCGTGCTTCTCAATCACTGGTCCCGCCTCGGGTAGCTTGATCTCTCGCTCTTCATCCAGAATGCTATTGATCTCTGTGAGCATCCGCTGGCGAGGTGGTTCGATGATATTCACCCGAATTCGAGGCACATCGCGGATGTCTCTCAGCGGAATCCGCAGAGGTGAAATGACTGGCGAATGCGGAGGAGGAGAAACATCCAACGAGTGTGCCTTGACATCACTTGAGATCGTTGACAGAGTCCTGGAAGCTAGAGATGCACTGCCCAGGGATAATTTGGAGATCTTCTCCACAAGAGATGAACTTCCATAACCTAAAAATATAGTCATCATTTCACCCCAATTTCTTTCAATCTCTGGACATTTCTTTGTGTCTGCGGCATACTCACAACCTATCCTAGCTATTTCCTTGGCTCTCAGAAGATGTTTGAGCATATTTCACGCAGAAAAAGCACCTTTTGTCTGTGCCTCGCATCCAATGCCAAAATTTCGCCGCGGCTGTACTAAAAATAGCCGTGCGACGGCCATTGTTCCGGAAACATCGACTTCGGAATGGTATAAAAGCAGGACATCGAATCGAGAGAATTCATTCGCAGAAGTGATTTCAAGCAGTGTTGAAGTGCTGAAAAGAGATTTCAATCAATTGAAAAGTGATTTTGTTGAAGTATTTGAGGAGTTGAATAAGTGAAAAAGGAATCTAAGGTAACTATTTCGTCTTTTGTCGCCAAAATTATAGTCAGAAATCCATTTTGTGATACACTTTTGAGGGTTCAAAGTTTCCACTCCCTGTTGAGCAGAAAAAGTTGATTTGCAAAGAAATTCAGGTATTTCCCATGAGTATTTCACAATTTTCGCGTTCTCGGTGGCCAGAGGAGTCGGGATTTGTGAGAAATTTGGGGAAAAACGTGGTGAAAGGAGATTTTTCAAGGGTACTTTTGTGTCGAAGTTTCGAGAAGAAAATTTTTCATCGGTCATTTTGTGGGTCAAATGATGAGATATCTGGATGAAAATCAGTTCATTGCGTAGCGCATTTATCTGAGTTGCGAAAAATCACAGGTGAAAAAGATAATTTTGTCACCTTGGTGGTGAAATTGGGCGATTTAATTGTGAAATTTCTCGAACATTCAAGATGGCGTCAGGAGAACAAAGAAACGCTTACTCAGACGCGACGTCAGCGCCCCACTCGCCACTCTAATCGATTTCCTGGGAGTGGAAAAAGTGATAAAGCGAGAGAAGTGAGGAAATTTTCCGAGCCGTGGAACAGTTGTAATTTAATTATACCAAAATGTTTTCCTCTTAAGCTGGCGCTGACGCAACATATGTGATGAATTTCCTTGGAGAAAGGCGTAGAAATCATTTTTCTTCTTGCCGTGATAAAAACTGTGGCGCTGTGCCAAATTTTTGCTATCACAAAGATAGCGTCAATGATTTTTGTTTAATCTGTGAACATTGGGGATTTCTTTGTGCGTTTTGAGATAAAGAAATGCGAGAGTTGTTTACTTGGTGGGAAGCACCTGAACTCAAATTGCGAACTTCCTGTTAATTGTGACGATAGACATTAATGAGTGTCTTTTTCTTTGTTTGGCTTTGTTCACAGAATGCAGATCTTTGTGAAGACTCTGACTGGCAAGACCATCACCCTTGAGGTCGAGCCCTCTGACACGATTGAGAATGTGAAGGCCAAGATTCAGGATAAGGAGGGAATTCCCCCGGATCAGCAGCGTCTCATCTTTGCTGGAAAGCAGTTGGAAGATGGACGCACTCTCTCGGATTACAACATCCAGAAGGAGTCAACGCTGCATCTCGTGCTCCGTCTCCGCGGAGGCATGCAGATTTTCGTCAAGACGCTCACCGGAAAGACCATTACTTTGGAAGTTGAGCCATCTGATACGATTGAAAACGTGAAGGCCAAGATCCAGGACAAGGAGGGAATCCCACCAGATCAGCAGCGTCTCATCTTCGCTGGCAAACAACTCGAGGATGGCCGTACCTTGTCTGACTACAACATTCAGAAGGAATCTACCCTTCATCTTGTGCTTCGTCTGCGTGGTGGAATGCAAATCTTCGTCAAGACATTGACTGGCAAGACTATCACGCTGGAAGTTGAGCCATCAGACACTATTGAGAATGTCAAAGCCAAGATCCAGGATAAGGAAGGCATTCCTCCAGACCAGCAGCGTCTGATCTTCGCTGGAAAGCAGTTGGAAGATGGACGCACTTTGTCTGATTACAATATTCAGAAGGAATCCACGCTTCACTTGGTGTTGCGTCTCCGCGGAGGCATGCAGATCTTCGTCAAGACCCTCACAGGCAAAACCATCACTCTTGAGGTGGAGCCTTCTGATACAATTGAGAATGTCAAGGCTAAAATCCAAGACAAGGAGGGAATCCCACCAGATCAGCAGCGTCTGATCTTCGCCGGAAAGCAGCTTGAGGACGGACGCACACTTTCCGACTACAACATTCAGAAGGAGTCAACTCTTCATCTCGTGCTCCGTCTGCGTGGTGGAATGCAGATCTTCGTTAAAACTCTCACCGGAAAGACCATCACCCTTGAAGTCGAGCCCTCTGACACTATTGAAAACGTGAAGGCGAAAATTCAGGACAAGGAAGGCATTCCTCCAGACCAGCAACGTCTTATCTTTGCTGGCAAACAGCTCGAGGATGGCCGCACTCTCTCAGATTACAACATCCAGAAGGAGTCCACACTTCACTTGGTGTTGCGTCTCCGAGGTGGCATGCAGATCTTCGTGAAGACATTGACTGGAAAGACCATTACTTTGGAAGTTGAGCCCTCAGACACCATCGAAAATGTCAAGGCTAAAATTCAGGATAAGGAGGGAATCCCACCAGATCAGCAGCGTCTGATCTTCGCCGGCAAACAACTCGAGGATGGCCGTACCTTGTCTGACTACAACATTCAGAAGGAATCTACCCTTCATCTCGTGCTCCGTCTCCGCGGAGGCATGCAGATTTTCGTCAAGACGCTCACCGGAAAGACCATCACTCTTGAGGTGGAGCCTTCTGACACCATTGAGAATGTCAAAGCCAAGATCCAAGATAAGGAAGGCATTCCTCCAGACCAGCAGCGTCTGATCTTTGCCGGAAAGCAGTTGGAAGATGGCCGCACCCTCTCAGACTATAACATCCAGAAGGAGTCCACCCTTCACTTGGTGTTGCGTCTCCGAGGTGGCATGCAGATCTTCGTCAAAACTCTCACAGGCAAAACAATTACATTGGAAGTTGAGCCCTCAGATACGATTGAGAACGTGAAGGCCAAGATTCAGGATAAGGAGGGAATCCCACCAGACCAGCAGCGTCTCATTTTTGCCGGCAAACAACTCGAGGATGGCCGTACCTTGTCGGACTACAATATCCAGAAGGAGTCCACACTTCATCTTGTGCTTCGTCTTCGTGGTGGAAATTGAGCAGCAAAATCTCACTGTACTTTTGATGCTTCTAACATTTGGTGAAATCCTGCGATGAAGCCCAATGTTCAGCATAATATACTTTCCATGGAAAACAAAATTTGTAGTGATTCTCTGACAAAGTAGTGAAAAGAAATTTCCTTGAAATAAAATACATTTTTGAAGCTTATCTAAGTTCTTTTTATTCTAACATCGACTGGCGATTCATCGCGCGCTGTGGCGGATTTCGCGCTGCAGGTAGGGAATCTTCTCGAGATCGGCCAGCAGCGCCCAGGCGTCGAGGTTCACGGGCAGAGTCCGCAGGCCGAGCGCTGACAGTGTGTCCAGCCACGTCTGGATGACTCCCTTGAGGCGGGATGTGTTGACGCTGTAGCAATTGGCTGTGAGCGGAATGACAGCCACGAGTTTCCTGCCCTCGCCCAGGAAGTCTTCCAGATTGGATGACTCCGGGCCCTCATCGGCCACTGGCAGGGGATTTCCCTCCGCGTCGAAGACGACTAGGTGGTCAAGGACGTGTCCATGTCTGGTCACGACCTTGTTGGCTACGAATTCACGCCCGAAGGCGTACTTCAGGGGCTCCTGGAGAGGCGACGCTTCCTTGCTGAGCAAGATCTCGATGGCGCGATCGAGGTACTTGCGACTGGGCAGAGGTCCGGAGTACTCGGGATGCAGAATCGTGAGCATCTGATGGAGACTCAGGAGCTGCACATGATCAAGCTGATTGTTGGATCTGACCAGGAATGCGGTGAGGAAGTCTTCGGCGAAGATCGCCTCCAGCAGGCTCTCGCTGTACGTGTTGAGCGACATGAACTCGAGGGCGAACTTGAGCCAGGGCAGCGTGTTTGAGGGCTTGCGCAGCAGCCTGCTCCGGGCGATGGATTGGCTGATGGTGTCCCAGTTCATGGGCGTGTAATTGGCCATGGAGAACGCCGAGACCATCGTGAAGATGATTGACGGCGAGTCGTTTTCCACCTCAGTGAACTTCTTCGCGATGATGTCCAGGAGTCTGTCGCTGGTGTAGCTGATCTTGTTGAACTTCTTGAAGAGGAACAGATTGAGGTGGAAGGAAATATCGCGCTCGATGGCCACGTCGATGACTTTCTCGAAGAACTCCTCGTTGTAGAAAACGGACACTTTGTTCACCACTTTCTGTGTCACCTTCGTGAGGACGATCTCGATGTCGCTGAACTTTACATCGTGCAGATCTCGGATCAGAATCTTCAGGCTGTTCTGCAGGAGTCTCTCGTGTGACGCGTGGAATCGCTTCAGATCACTCAGCGACCACACGATACTTTTCGCCGGCTCCACGTCAATGTTTTCCCCGTGAAGCGTCAGGGCGCTGACGATGTTCTGGATGCTCTTGTCCGAGCAGTCGTGCCTCACGGCGAAGCTCAGCAGCTCAGCCAGCTGAGGCACATTCTCGTGATCGAGCTTCGAGCCCACGTTGATCTGGAAGAGCATCGGCAGCGCCATCCTGAACGCCTCCACGATCGGCGTCTTATCGCATCGATCCAGCAGGAAGTCCAGGAACACAATCTGTCCCAGCTCGATGTCGTTGATCTGATGGCGCACGAGGTTGAGGAGGATGTGAATGATTTCACTCTTCGTGGGCACTTTGAGGAAGACCATCACCTTCAGCGCGTCGATGGCATCGTTGAGATCAAGATTTCTGACGTGCCTTCTCAAGGCTCTGCACAGAGTCTCAAACTCTGGGTGGCGCAGAATCTCATCGGTGCTGAGGCGAGAGCTGAAAATAAACCATTGGCGATCAGAGTGTGTTTTGATACCAATTTATCTGCGTGTCACGGACTTTCCGTTCTTCTGCAGCACAAAGAGTGTCTTGAGCGTCTGCATGACGTGGGAGGATTGCATGTCTTTCTTCTGCCTCGCCGCGACACCGAGCAGCTCCACGGTGCTCGTGGCATACTTGATGCTGCTCATCAGATGATCTTCGGGCGTCATAGTGACTTCGGCTGTTGAGGAAAACAATTCTGAGCGCACAATTCTGGGATGAATCTGTAAAATGCCCGCCAAATCTATTCTTAGTCCCGCCATTCTCCCACTCTCACCTCTTCCGCTGGACAAGAGCGCAGTGTGTATCCATCTCTGGCGCAGTGTGGGATAAAGTACTCTGCTACATCTCCGGAGAACGTTCATTATTCTGTGCCTGGAAAGGAGAGAAATTGGAGGGAAATATAAAAGCGCGCGCCATTCCAGCGACACTCTTCACACGAATTTCCGCAAGAGGCGCACCGAACGCGGGCCCGCATCATAACCTCAAAGAGCGAGCGAAAAAATCTTGAATGTCATTCGTCATTTCTGATGACTACGGGAAAATCAATGAAGACCTCCACTTATTGAGTGATTTGTGCCACGAAATTGTGATCGAAAATCGTGAAATTTCCACGCAGTGTGTTCAAGTGTTGTGATCCGACGTGCTTTGTGGCTGTGCCTACGCGCTGAGCGTGTGCGAAGGGGTGAAATCTGGGGCTTTCTGGCGGAGGCTAATGTGAGAGAGAGGCTGTGATATCATCACGGACTGGGAAGTGCGACGGGGGACCCTGAAATGGACGACTCTAGCGATGAGAGCGTGGACTCGATGGACGCGCGCCAGTCGGAGCGCCAGGCGGCGCTGGGCTTCCGGCCGCAGAGTGAGATCTGGTGCAACAGACACCTGCCCTATGCGGAGAAGCTGGACGAGGAGTCGCAGCAGATGCTGCGCCAGATCAAGACGTGCCTGGGCAAGGCCGTGGCCATGCGAGAGATGAATCCCGCCGTTGGCATCTACACATCCAAGCTCATGGCGTGAGTATTGCGCGAGGGGGTGGATTCAGGACTTTCCTGTGGGAAGCACTTACTTGAGGTTCTCGTGTTGAGAGTGCGAGAGAGAGAAGAGAGCGCTCGTGGAGGAAAATGACACTTCCAGGGGCACCCCTGAATCGCAGTCGTGCCGCGAGATGTCGCCCGAGGGGCGGAGATTTAAATGTGAAAAAACACTGAGAGAAATCCTTCAACCGTTTCATCTCCTTTTCTCTTGCAGGTACATAAAGATGTATGGACTGAAGTTCTCCAAGGAGGATCATGTTAAATTCATAAAGCTCTTCCTCGACATGATTTGCATTCCGTATCTCGAGACGACGAAATTGGCAAAGTTCTGTGTGTTGCTTACACAACTGTTTGCGTAAGTTTTCTCTCTCTGTCTCGCTTTTGTATATAGTTTTCCACCGCATAAATTATCACGTATTTTCCCTCATTCATGCAGAAAGCCTCACCTGCTATCGCCGGATGATTTGCAAGTGGACTGGAGACCTTTGTATAACCTCAGCAAAATAATTCTCAACAAGAATTGCAACAAAGGCGTGATGTTTCGCTTCTTTTCGTAAGTTTATGCGACATTTTGCAAGAATTTGCTGCTGTTTTAAATTAACCCAATTCATCTCTTGCGAACACTTTGTCCACTCTGTAATTGTAGGAAGAGTGATAGAAGAAAGTCGGGAGAAAGTACAGAAATGTCGATGATTGCCTCTTTGGCACAGCAATATGGCTTTGATCCGACACCACTTTTGGATGACAAAGACACGTAAAAATAATCTCTTTTTGCTCCGCAAACACAAAAATGGCCATTGCATCTTGCGCGCTGCTTCACAAGAAAGAGCGTCACATCATAAAGGAAGGAGACTCATTTTTGGGGGCTTTTGCGTTGTGGAGAATTTGACTTGAACAGAGAGAAAAAGAATTTCTTGCTCAATTCGAAGGCAATTCCGGGTCAAATAATGCGCTCAACTTCTCTGAATGAACGCTAAATGTTAATTCTGCGTAGAAGAACGCACTTCATTGACTCATTTTTGCTTTTCAATGGCATTTAAATTAGGTGTTGAGTCACAATCTGTTTGCCACTTTCTGGTATTTTCTTCACTATTGCACAATATTGAGGCAAAAAGCGTCAGTTTATTTCGAGGTTTTTCCAATTAATCTTTTTTTCTTATCAGTTTGCGATTAAGTGTTTGATTGAATTTATAATTTCCACGAATTATTTGCCAAGAAATGTATTTTTTCTGATAATATTCAGAATAATTTGTACAAACAGAACTTCAAGATATTTTTAGCGTATTATTAAATCATTTAATATTAGTTTTCTTTGTTCGAGTCTTGTTTTAATTTGCAAGAAACGAAAATTATCGAATTGTATTGACTTTGATATGAAGAAAAACATTTTTGAACTCTTCTAAGACACTTAATTCTTTGAGAAAATTAATCTTTAATGGTGTTTTTACAACAAAAATACAATGAAACTCTTTGAGTTGGCATTTATTGAGAGAAGTTGATGAAAATGGAGTGCAAAACGTTCCTTATCCGCTAAAGAGCATGGAAACTATTTGTTCAAGTCGAAGCTTTTCATTGGGCTGGAAGAATCATGGCTTTATTCATCTGGTGGGCGGTTTTGCTGGTGGTTTTTCGGCGGTGTTTGGTTCAAAATTGGTGTCGGACTGCGTTGCACACGCTCATTGCACTCGTCCTGCAGGACTTCAGTCGCGCCTTGTGTGCCTTTTCAGGTCGCTGGAGTCGAATTTGCAGTATGTGATCCAGTGCTGTGCCTACTACTTCCCCAAGTCCTCCACCAGGGAGATCCTGGACGAGCTGTATCCGCAACTGGAGCCGCTCGACACGGGCAAGGATTGCGCGGTGCTGGACTTGCTGGGCATCTTCCTGAATCCCTACGAGGGACACGAACTGTGGCTGGACAATTTCATGAAGTTGTGGAATATGTATCACAATCCGTCGTGGAATGTGGACATCATGAACCTCGTAGCGTCGACGGCGAGTCACAATATTGGTGGAATTGACTGGGAGCCTTACTTGCCGGTGATGTTCACCAGGATCCTGCGCTCTGTCGATCTGCCGGTGGTGTACAAGAACATCGGCAGCTCCAGGAATCAACATCTCTGGGCGTCGTCCGTGTCCATGTGGATTGTGTCGATTCTGGGGCCGAAGTCGACGGGTCAGAAGTATCTGGACAAGTTCATGGGCACCATCGAGTCATATCTGCATCCGGCGAACTCTGGCAAGTGGGTTCACTACCTCAGTGACATCCTCGTGCAGCTGGTGAAGTACTTCGAGGGGCGCCTTATTGCGGAGCGCTACAGGAAGCCGTCATGGATGCGTCGCGTGCCGGAAGAGCACCGCCTCACGGAGGAGTGCGTGACGGCGTTCGTGGTGAGCATGAAGCCGGTGGCGTTTCAGGTCATGTACTCACGCGTGGGCTCAAGTGATGTGAGCAAGGTGTTCAAGCTGCTGGCCGACTTGAGGCCCGAACTCATCATTCCCGGCGTCATTGAGCGTGTCTATGCGACACTCGACTCACTCACGGAACCGCACAAGCTCACAGCGGCGCTGCAGTGCTTCGTGAGTGTGGCCAGACCACTGGTGTCGTGTCACAATGGCTACTCGGAGGGACGGACGCATGTGATACCCATTCTGATGGCCACACTGCCGGGCATTGATCCCAATGACTTTAAGAAAACTTCGGTGGTGCTGCAATTTCTCACGTCTTTCGCTCTGATGGTGCCCATTGTGGATTGCAGCAAGGCGAGTCTGCACTACAATGATCTCACGGAGGAGGAGAGATTGATTTGCGAACAGACAGCGGATTTGGAGGATTTTGTGCTGCACTTCCTGGACAAGATCTTCATTCTGATCGACTCCAGTGCACTGGAGTCAATTCGCATGGAACAATCGGACTCGGACAACATCCGATCGAAGATGGAGGCTGTGGCGGAGGCGCTGATTCAGTCCAGTGCTCATGGGATTCTGGCTCAGTGCTCGGATGACATCAAGAAGGCGGCGGCCAGGAAGGTGGAGCTGTTCATCAAGTCACATCTGTTTGAGCCGAAAGTGGCGGGATTGCTGGCCGGATGTCTGGTGCGAGTGATGTCACGTGTCAGTGGAGACTTCTTCCTCAGGTCCATTGTGCCTTACCTGATTGAGACGCTCGAGAAGTACTTTAGCGATCACGAGGACATTGCCAGTGTGGAGAAGCAGAGCGATGAGGTGCAGTACTATTTGATCCTGCTGATGAACACCATGCGAGGCGATCCGCGGTTCTTTGTCCACTACATTGACGATATTATTCCCATAATTGATCAAGTGAGTCGATTCAAGTGCAAGTTGGCCAACAAGAAGGCGGGAAGCATGATTTTGAACATCATGAGCAATGTTGGAACGCTGCAGACGCTGGATATTCACAGCAGTCCGGAGATTGTGACGAAGCCACTGGCGGAATTCCTGCCCATTCGGCACTGGGGTGAGAAGATGAAGCCACATGACAGGATAGCGTGGTACATGCCGGACGAGAATTGCCGGAAGGTGTGCGAGAAGTTGATCCACAGATACCTGCCGCCAATTCTGGAGGCATTCGAGAAGCACGTGAGTGGAGAGATTACACTCGATAGGGATGAGATCCTGCGAGATGTCTCAATGGTGACGTCCCTGATCAGGTGTAATAACTTCCTGCCCGTGTGGACGAATGAGGAGCCACTGAAGCTCGTGGAGTCCGCTATTGATGGCTACACGGCCAATGTGACGCTGGGCTTTGACAATCTGGTGATCAACATGCCAGATGGACGCAATGTGCGTCTGGCCATCATTGAGACACTGTCAAAGCTGCAGCGCAAGATTCTCGAGTGTTCAGAGGATGACATTAAATCGCTGAGGGCAATTGTGAGTCTGTGGGACAAGGTGCACATCAGTCGACACTACAACTCGGCCTTTGACACACAGATGAAGAACTACATGGCCACGAAGAGCTTCCAGAACTACAAGCTGACGATGCACAGGCGGAATTTGAGGGCCGTGGCGGCGATGAGAGTGTTGATGCAGCAAGATTGTCGGGATGAGTTGCGGAGGTTGCGCTTCACGGCCACACACAGAGAGATCATGCTGAATCTCCTCACGCTGTCCACATCGAAGTACAGCACAATTCGATCTCTGGCACAGGGGCGACTCTTCAGTCTGTTCGCCCTGTATGCCTTCTCCTATCGCTGCATCCTCGATGAGCTGGTGCCGTACTTGAGGCTGGACTCGAATGAGCACCACGAGAGCTTCAAGGGCGCTCTGTACATACTCAATGGCCAGAGGCGGATGCGGCTGATTGTGAAGCACGACTGGGAGTGTGTGGAGAAGCTGTGGCTATCGCTGCTGCAGTCAAAGTTGTCGGAGAAGCCATCGGTGGTGAAGTTGTTGGACTTGGCCATTGATGCCATCAACAATGAATTTCCCACGCTCAACATTGAGCTCACCATTCCCGAGCGGTGTGTGGAGCAGGCGCTCAGCATCCTCCCGAGTGATGTGTCCCTGTCAGTGGAGGACATTGAAGTGGGACGTGTGAATCTGTTGAGTCGCAATGTGGAGAATAGGGAGAAGTATGAGAATATCTTGAACACCATTGTGCAAACGGTGAAGGATAATTCGCTGCATTGGCGCTACAATTTGATGGCATCACTCATGATCTTCAATTTGGTGCATCCGGAGACGAAATATCCGGAAATTGTGGCACGCTATGTGGTGAACAATCTCATCAGTGATTCGCTGGAGGAAAGAAAAATAGCTGTGCGAACAATGACATTCATCATGACGCAACAGAAGCGAGAGCACAAGAAAATCACAATTGACCCCTTCAGTATCTCAGGCACGGAGCCGAGCACAAAATTGCTGCCTGGCTATCGTCAGGACAATGCGTGGCTTCAGTATGACATTGAGAGGGTGCCGAGGAGTCAGAGTGAGTGGGATGAGGCGCGCTTCATTCACCGCGGGCAAGGGTATTTTGGCTGGAAGCCACTCTTTCAGCTGTACGCGTCCAATGCAGAGCAACCACCTCTGGACAGAGATGAGAGTGAGATGAATGACACGGAGAGGGTGATTTACAACTTCTTCAGCGACGCGGACAATGTGGAGAAGCTGGTGACATTCTGGTCGCTGGAGGAGAAGAAGGGCAAGGATAAGTTCAATAGATCCAGATTCTTCCTCATGAAGAGCCTGAGCACGTCCTTTGGCGATGCCTTCGTTGACTCCTTCCTCAGTCATCTGCCACGCTTGATTGCTGCCAAGGAGTGCGAGAGCAATCACAGATGCGCGGCGGAAATTATGGCGGGATTGATGAAGGGCACGAAGCACTGGACGTATGAGAAGACAGAGAAACTCTTCGGTCGTCTGCAGCCGCTGATTCGCGAGGCTCTGAGTCATGTGACAAACGACACGGACGCCTTCTGGGGCACGTGTTTCGCCACGGCGGCGGAGATGATTGATCCCATGCGCCAGTATTGGCTGTATGAAGTGCTGCTGGAGGATCCGCTGCGCGAGTCCACGAGCTTCATCGACTGCAGTCGCATCTACTGTCTTCAGGGTCCATTCAATCAGCACGTGTGGCGCATGAACACAATAGCGCACCGACTGCTGGATTACCTGCGTCCCTACTTTGTGCATCCCTTCCAGAATGTCCGCGAGAGGCTGGGAAGCATCCTTATCAACATCTTCGAGGCGGATCTCACGTATCCGGGCGGCAATGAACCTCAGTCGCCGCGGATGAAGGACTTCATCTCGGGCATTCTACCTCAACTTCAGATTCTCTACAATGACTACCCGAAGATTGTGCCCAAGAGCAAGACGGACAACGCGGACAGTCAAGGTTAGTTTCAGTATCTTTCAGTAGAATATTTATCCGGAAAACTTCATTTTGTTTAGTGGCAAAGTGAGTTTTATTTTCTGTGTTAATTAATTAAATGTCAACTGACTATTTTTTTTTTTACCTTTCTTACTGGTCAAAGTGTTTTTCTTATTTGTAAAATAACTAATGAAGAATTAAGGTGGAAAGTTTCTATGTCAATTTAGCTGTTGGAAAACTTCACTTTGATGGCTTTGATGATATTAAATTTAATGAATTTCAACGTGAGTTAATGACTTTTTGCAGTCAAGATGGCAATTGAAGCTATTGACCTCTTAACTCAATAATGGCAAATGTGATTAAATGCTGGAAAGTTATTGATTACCTTTCATCTCTCTCTCTCTCTCTCTTCCTCTCGTCCTGAATCTTGTCATCCTCCGCCCCCGGTTGCCAATTAATAAGTTTCTACACGTCTATTTGATGTGATCTGAGATGTTAACAATTTTCTGTTTGTCTTTTCCGTCTCGCAGCTGCCGAGGAGGAGTCCAGCGAGGAATCTGGCGAAGCGACCAAACAAGTTGATACGGATTTTGAAGTGGCTGTGAGACTCTTTAAGACAAGTGAGTGTGGGTGGTGGGTGGGCGTGCGGGGAGACAGTGAGAGAGGGGAGAACTAATGGCTTGGCTATTTTGTAGTATCGCACTGGATAATTGGTGTACTGAACAGAACGACAAATGGTAATCAGCCGGAGTACTTTGAACTGCTGCCGTTTGCGTGTCGCCTGGAGAAGTGTGAGCAGGACAATGAGTTGCAGGTGATTTGTACGTCTCTGCTGGCGATGCTGTCGCAGGCACTCACGCTGCCGGAGTGCATGGCGGCGAGCCTGGCGAAGATTAACGATGTGTCGAGGATGAGCTCATGGTCGGCGCGATTGGCGGTGGTGGATGTGCTGCAGGTGCTGGTGTTCAACAATATGTCAATTGTGCTGAGTCGTCTCGAGTGGGTGGACGCGGTGCAGGAGATTGTGCTGCGTCTGCTCGAGGACACGGTGCTGGAGGTGCGAGAGAAGGCGGCTCAGGTGCTGGGCGGGCTGCTGCACTGCTCCTTTCTGCCTGCCACGGACAAGCTGCTGGAGTTGTTCAAGAAGAAGTGTCGCACGAAGGTGGTGAAGAGCTCGAGACGCGTCGTGGCGACCACTTCGTGTGCCGTGGAGGCGAGCATCGCGGAGGCGTCGCTGGCGGAGTCCAGAGAGGCAAATGCCGTGCGGGTGAGGCACACGGGAGTGCTGGGACTGTGCGCCTTCATCTCTGCCTATCCCTATGACATCCCTGACTTCGTGCCGGACGTCTTTGAGCACCTCGGAGCGCATCTCAACGATCCACAACCTATTCCGGTGAGTCTGCCATCATTCTTTGTCTCTCTTTTCTGCATCTCTTGATGCGTTGTTCTCTATTTTTGCGGTGCAGTCGACAATTAGAAAGACAGTCGGTGACTTTAAAAGGACACATCACGATAATTGGGCAACGCATCAGTTGAAATTCACAGAAGATCAGTTAGCTGTTCTCAGTGATCTTACCGTTCCGCCCTCGTACTATGCCTAAGGACAGTCCGGTCTAAGTGTTGAGCTGCAAGTCTGCACGGTATATATATAGCTAATAAATTAAGTTGTTGGGGCATGTGGATGATATATATACAGAATAGATAATAAGGAGTCGCACAGAAGAAAATGTGTGATTTGTATTTTTAAATAGGTTTACTGTTAAATCTTTCCCGCAATCAGTTTTGCTGAATTACATGCATAAAAAAATCTCAACTGGAATCGACTTTGGGACGAAGAAGCACCACAATTTTACCTGCCTGACTTTCGTAATTATTACAAACATATATATAGATAGATGAAATGAGAAAAATAGGAAAGTGAAAAAAGGTAATGGATTTTTCTATAAAAATCTACACAATAATAATAATATATTTTAAATAAATTTAAACTGTTCAATAGGATGTTGAAGTTGTTTCTGCGTTGAAGGGTTTTTCGTGTAATTAATTGCGAATCACTGGCTTATGCGGCGAAGGAGAGTTTTGGGGAAAAACTCACACACAACCACACACACATTGATTGGCAGTGCCGCGAAGACGCGGATAGTCCTGAAATCTCTTGCCGCGCAATGCATAAAGCTTGGCACAAATTAAAATTTTAATTGCTTTTGTCTCGCTCAAACTTGATAATGAATTTAAATGAAATGATAATAAGTCGCAAGTGCGCTTCTGTCTAACGGCAAAACGAAGTGGTAATGTCGTTTTTCTCCTGTTCCTCGGCTGCTGGGCAAAAGAATCTTACACGCCAAGACGGAAGCGCGATGTCATTAATTAAATATAATTTATCTCAGTGAAGTGTGTGTGTGTGTGTTCGCTATGCTGAATTGTATTCGGCATGAAATACATTAAAATTGCATAAAGCTCTCAAGGTGGAGACGAAGGATGGAGGCTCAAGAGAGCGCATTACACCTTCTGATGCCTGGGCATTTCTTGCATTGAAGGTGTGCCGCTGTCTGTGTACTTAAAACTATCTTCCTGTCTGTGCTCCGTGTGGCAGAAACATGAAGAGGCGTATTTATTGCTATTGTGCATCACTTTTCCGCTCTTGCAATCTCAATGGGTTGGATGCACAAATGGAGGTGGAAAAATATTGAAAATATTCTCAGTGGAAGTTTTGTGATGTTTTCAAGCGAAATATCAGAGCTGTGAATGACAAATGGTATTTATTCAATGGAAGTGGGAAAGAAGAGTAAAACACACTGACATTACTTTTACTTGGAAGCATATGTGAAGACAAAAGTACATCAAGCGGAAAGTGCAAAACATTCTTTTGCGAAAATGCGTCAGTGAATCGATGCCAATGGTGAATTACAGAAAAGCGACGAATAACTCTTGCTTTATGCAACAAATACAAGAAAAAAAAAGAACGCAATAAAGAGTGGGTGAAGATCAATAGAACAATTTATGAATGAGCGAGTATTGAATTTTTCATGGAATTTAAATTTGCAGTGTGGTTAAACAGAAATATTAATCTTGCGACTAACTTTTGTGCAAGTTGGAGAAGGAAATTCCTTGTGAAAACCTTAATATGAAAATGCTGAAGAATGCTCAAAATTCTTTCCTTTAATCTCCAATATATTTCTGAGTATTAGAACATTTTTAAATTAAACTATCGCCTTTGAGGAGGAATATACAAATATTACAAAATTCAATAGAGATTTGTTCCTACTGGGCAAAAGACGCTGTGTGCTTTTGTGCAGCTAAAATTGCATTTTACTCTGTGAAGGAATTTTGCCTTGCTATTTGATATCAAATAGATATGCGAGTTAAAAATGAAATTCTTGTGGGTTTGTTTGTGCTTTACTGCAATTCGATGAATTCATCAAAAGTACCTCAGTCAAGTCATTGTTTATAATTTACATTTTGAAGTTTGTCTGTGAAACTGCACAGAAGCTCTTTTCTCTCTGGGGCTGAATGGCAAACGCCGTGAGCAGCGTGTTGCCTTTTTTGGTGTATTTTCATTATTTTCGCTTCAGAAAAGTTTCGTTGAAAATGGATATTGATGTGCACGCCAAATAGAGTCTTTTCTTCTGCACTTTGTTGATTCAGAAGATTCGCCATCTCCACTGCATCGCCCATTCATTCAGCATCTTATTATACCTATATTTTCTTCGTATTTAGGACTGTGAGAGAAGAGGATTAAACATTCCGCTGTGTGTGTGTGTGTGTAACTTTTGAAATTCTCTCTCTTTCGTGGCAGGAAAAGTGAATGAAATTTTCTCTCCATCTCACAATAATTATATCCCCAACTTTAATCACTAGAACTGTAAGTCAAGCGGAATTTATTGTAATTTCAATTTTCACTGCATTTCACAAATGCGATTTGCATGATGAGGTGGAAATTAGCCAGTGAAATGGCTGGGAAATATTTGAATTGTCCAAAGCGAGAGAGAGAGACAAAAGGGTTGAACTCCACCTTTGGTGATTATTTACCTCATTTCAAGTTGAAAATGCTACTCTTTCCCGCACTGATTTCGTCCACACAATGGAACTCTTCGAGAGTCACTTATTGAATTTAGAGGGTCCAGCTTTCGGAGGGTTATTCTCTCCTTCGCTCTTCTCTCGACAATCTCCTTAATTCAATTTCCACTAGTGCTTGTGTCTTATGGAAGGGTTTCCAAAGATGAAGATGGGTGAGTTTGGATGAATGGGGCGTGAATGAGTCTTCGCGGCGACAATTCGTGATTTCACAGCATAAAAGGACAGCAGAGAAAACCGATTCATAAGCATTTATTTGCTCACAAGCACAGTTTTTGAGGATAAATGCGGAAAAATGCAAGAGTTTTCGAGTGATTTGAGAGAACGTCTCGGCCGCCGGATGTCTTTGCGACTCTCAGCTTCAGCTCTGCACAGAAACTTTTCGATTGAGTAGGTGTGTACGAGGAGAGGTAATAAAAAGTCCAATTGTTGTATTAGAATTTAAGTGTGACGGTTTCGAAGGGTGGCTGTGAAATCGGGGTGTTTTTGAAGAATAGGATTTCACTGATGGGGTTGTGTGTCGCCCTCGTTGAGTTGAGTGCGGGGGTGAAGATTTTAAATAAAGTCCTCCGGACGAGTGCAGGAAGAAAAGTTTCTCTCGAGACCCATTGATGGGTTGCCGAGGGAAATGTGTTGACAAAGCAGGATAATTTGAAAAGAATCATCACTTTTCAATGTTGGCTCTCTATTGTTCATCCCACCCCTTTGTCGCGTATCTGTGTCTCAACACTTGCTGGTGAATCCTTTCGTTGTCCTGAAGTGATGAAATTGGATGGACAAGTGCGAGAGGAGATGCGAAGGAAGTTTGGTGTGTAAAATTGGCAGGTTCTTTCGCATCCTTTTGTGGTCTGCAGAGGAGAAAACATCTGTCCTTCTCTCTTCCTCTCGCTGCCTTGGGATTTTTTTTTATTTGCCTGTATTTCACAGCGAAATTATTGTATTCAATCTGGCAGAGTGCTTTCTCCAGAATGTCATAAATGGAATTATATTAAATATGAGATTATTAGAATTTCCTATTTGAATATTATACCAATTTTATTGCGTCACAAGACGCTGCCACATTTATTATTAACTTTCCCCAGAAGCAAAGACGAATTCACATCGTGAGAGACTCGTAAAAGTATTAATTGTTGTTCTCTGCTGATATCATGAGAAAATTCTGGCTGTATAATATTTTGGGGCTTAGATAGAGGGAAATGTGAAATTTATCTCATCCAAAAGCGATAGAGAAGTATTAAAAAACACATACACACACAATTTTAATGTGGTGAAATTGAAAGAACGTCAAAGATGCAGCATTTTCTGAATAATTTCCTTCTTAAGGACACATTCACCGCTGCTGAGGATGATTGAGTGGGAGCGAAAGGGAGAGAGACGCTAAAGTGATAACAATCATCCCACAGAGGATGAGCAATGACTTCCAATAAGACAATGTTGTTGGACAGATTTTTGACAAGAGTAATCTGATCCCCTCAATAAAAATATACATGCCAAGGAGAACATGGCAGTGATACTGTGAGTCTGTGTATTGACGGACGCTGTGGAAGATGGGCGAAGAGTCGACGGTCCCTTGAGAGCGGAAAAGCTCACAGAGTAATGATGTCCTCAAAGACACTAAACCCTTAAGGCTTTTGGATGTTTTACTTAGGTTTTATTTACTCTCTGTGATTTTGGTTTTCTCTCCTCCACATCCTCTTCGTCCCTGGCCTGGAAGGCCATCACAGATCCGATGTTTGCCTATCGTGTTTCTGTTATGTGAAATTTAATGGTGAATTGAGATGAAATTGCGAAGCGAAACCTCCGTTGCCCAGAGAGAGAGAGAGATGACTTTTATTGAGTTTAATATCCTCAAAATGATACATATTGGTCTCAATGCTATTTGCCTAGATTCCCACTGAGAGGACCTCTTTCACTTCGAGACACACAAATTACATTTTGATCAATAATCTCGACAATTTTCCGTCAAACATCCATTCTCGATGCGCAATTTAGAGTAAATTGGGATAGAAGAGGGAAAATTGTGAAGGTTTTTTTCTTGCGTATCATATATTTTTTTCTCTCCCCCCCAATCCCTGTGGAAAGGGGCAATTTTTCGTGAAAAATGGTTATGAGAATGTATAGAAGACAATACATGAGGGAAATCAATGGAAATTGTAAAGCATTAACCTTTCACGGCACTTTTTTTCTCTCTCTCTCCGTGGCGCACATGAGAATCAAAAGGAAGAAAATTCAGTATATTTACTTGATTTATTGTAATATCCCAAAAATTCATATAAAATTTATCTTTATTAAATCTTTATTAGGACTCTTCTGAGATTCTCATTTGCAGCCAGTGTAATAATAATGATAATACAATTCCCGAACGCAAGATGAAAGAATGCGAAGGAAGTTGGCAATAAAGTGAATTGGGTATTTAAAAATTTCCACCATCACTTTGACGATGGAATTTCATTTCACTCCTTAATTAAGTTTACCTATAAATTAGTATCTTTCAGCGAGTACACTCGACTTATTGCTTTTTGCAAATTAAACACGAAAAGAATGTGTACTTCAAGGAATTTTCCTTCGATGAGTGGGATCAGCGCCAGAGTGAAAGAAAGCTCTAGGATTCTTTTTTTTTCTCTACTTCTCTTCTTCAATCCCAGAACCTTTTTTTTTCTCTCCCTGCACGATGGCGAATATAAACATGAGAAGGAAAGCTCCTTTCTCAGGGGGAAAGCATAAAGGGATTTTAAGGTAAATTTTTGAGAAAAATAATAGATTACAGCATCAGAAATAACATCAAAGCATTTTTATTTATGAGTCGAGCATGTTGTGGGGAATGACGGAAAAACCATGGAGAAAACATCAATCGCTCGATTGTAATACAAAAAAAAGAAGAAGAACTTTATGTCGGGGGCAGAAAGATTTTCCGGAAGGGTC